TCATTTGCGAGACGCGTTAATGAGGCATGTGCCTCGGGCGTCACTCCCAGAGACCACGAGGTCGCACACGTATCAGTTCTACCTGTGTGTATCAGGGTGGATTCTCATGCAGCAGAATAATAATGTGACGTCACAATACGTTCAACCCCCATCTTATGCCGTCCTCTCTTTAACGGCAAAGCAACATTTTCTGGCTTCATTGTATCATACATGCAGATGCAAGCAACGCTGCTTACGCTGTCAACGTATTACATTACTGCACCTTGAATTTGTTCTCCGTCTGATGATCAAAATTATGAAATAGTCAATATCTAATCAATCGATACTGAAATCGAATATTTAAAATATATTTTAAAAAATTATTACTTTGTACGTCTCATTTTCATGTGACAACTTTGCGTGATGATACTGAACAAAATTTTTTGTTTCATCGTTACTTATACGTATATACTCCAAAGGTTAGCTCAAAAGGTGATATATATTAGTCACTATAAAGAAATGTCGTAACATGCATAAATACGTGTTACGTGAATTTTGCTTTACCTTAACGAAATATCTGATTGGAGAAATTCAAGTTTATCGTATAATCTGCACGAAAGTGTACTTTCCCATGGCACATAGTAACGGTCCGTTACCTTTGTGTAAACGCACGAGCTTGCGAAGGTAGATCGATTTTCATCCGTCCAGTGTAAACCGAGCTAATTGCTTGCTAACTGCCCCTTAAATCTCATTCCGCACGGTCCTTTTAGATATCGTTGAATTTCTCCTCGAAGTTGACGAAGGTCAAACTTTTAGATTGCGAATAAAAAAATTTCTACATTTCCATGTTATTCTTTCATTTCCCTTTCTACTTCCGTTCACCATACTTTCCTTCGGTGTCCGTGTCCCTCTACTTCCGAGTAGTCGAGGGTCGAACGAGGCTGCTGTTACGCCCCTTTCGCATGCGAGAACTGTCAACGCCGAAGTACACCCGGTATATGGACTTTAGCATATACGCCATTAAACTGAGTATAGACTGCGGACTGACGGTGACGACGTCTGTCTCCATCGACGTGGTGAACTTAATTTTTCAAACGATGCTACCGAGTTTATTGAACCATTGGAGTAACGTTCGCTCGTCTCACGGGAAAAACTGCGCTGCAATCTGAACCTTTGTTATGGTACGGCATTTCCAGAGGGATTACTCAGCTTGGAAATATACTGAAGGTTTACTTGCGAAATGATGAAATTATTTTTAGTGGGAACACTCGGTATTGAACGTTGGACATTATTTATGTTATAAAGGGAATTGTGGCGGGTTTGATATTTTGCTAGTTACTTTCGGAATTAGTACCTCTGTGGAAGACACGGGTGGAGATAATTTGTGGATGTCGTTATAACGTGGAATGACCGTCGAGCGTATAACAGGGGACTTTGAGAATTTTCACTACAGTGCTTTTTGAAGAACGGCCTTCTGCATTGCGGCAACCGCGCAATAATAAGCCGATAAAAATTTCGTCGACTGCTTTCACGCTTTTCACTATATTTCTTTTCTTCGTCTTTCCTTGGACTGCCTCTTGCTATTTGAGGCGAAATCGCAAGGTGGAACGACAACGCGATAATTAGACGGAAGCATGTTTTATTCGCTCACTTGAGAATGCAGGGAAAGAAAAGCCCGCGGTTAAAATTCAAGGATGGAACTTTTTTTTTTCTCACAGCGTCGCTCACGTCGTTTCCTCGAGGGTCACAATTTGCTGGTAGGGCTGTCCTGTCGACGCTGACGCCTTCGCGTGAAAATAGCCTAACTTGGGTTTCTCAAGTCGTGAGGTCGGCTTCTTTTAAAAGAAATTGTTCTTTCGGAAATGCTTTGCTGCTTTACGTTTTCTACGACTATTCCTTAGCTGCTCTGCTGGTTGGTATTAGCCGGTCCAGGAGTTCAATGTTTTTTGGACGGTACAGATTTACGTGGACATTCATTTCGAGTAACTTGTTTTCAGGTGAAAAAACGCAATTGATAACAGTATTTGCCACGTTTATGTTTGAATTAATCATATTTCATATGGTCGACAGTATAGAGTAAGTTGATCAGACCTGTAGTAGAGGAAGTACTAAAAAGAAAAATAAGAAAACAGGAGCTACAAGAAAAATGAAGACGATGATACTTTAATAAAAAAAAAAAGAAACAAGTAAGCACGTATTTTCGGTAATTATGGAAAATTGTTAATAGATTAAGATTAACATTTTTTTTTTACATTCGTTATAAAGTAAGTCATTAATGTGAATGTCTAAAGACAGAGTTATTTAACTCCTTACAGGATCAACATCTATGCATTCACACACGTACCTACATTCATTATCGCATCGTTATATAAAATATTTAACTGTAAAATGACGATTGTCAAGATATCACGAATAATATTGTACAATCATGCAGTTATTAAAACTCAGCCAGACGGATCAAAATCTTATATATAAAGACCGTAAGAATAATAATGACCTTTCGTAAGCTATTAAATGTAGCCTTTATTAGGAAGATTGAGATTTTTATAAATGATTCTGACGCAAACTGAATTTTGCTTTTATAAAATGCATCTGGTCACGAGCCTCGTAGACATGATCGATTGTGACAGATATCGTAAAACATCTGATTTTTGGACGACGGATCCCTCTGTTCATTATAAATGAGCCTTCTAGGAGGATCCAGCAAATCTACGGGTTGTGAAAAGTCCAGCATCGATTCGCCGAAATATTCCTCGTGAAATTTACAAAGTTTTCACGAGACGGTAATACTCGTTCTTCGCCCCTGAGGTAATAGGCCCTACGGCCTAATTGATGAAAATAGGAACAGATCGAACAAAAAATATAAATTAATTGAACAAACATTGAATGTGTACACGTGGAACTTAATCATAGGTAGAAAATCACCTTTGTTCTCGTTTAGCTGTTAGTTGAGTTACTCGCAACTAATAACTTAGGTAGACTCACGCTATTTTACTATGAGAAGGGAGGGATGGAAAACAGCAATACTGCCATCTTTATATAATTGAGAAATTCAGTGGGTATGAAACTGAGCACTACGGAGCTTAAAATATAATTCTACGAACAAAAATTGAACCATTATGTCTACCAGTTAGGTTAGGCTTCGCCTAAGAAGAAGGTTGTGAAATTGGCCCATCTTTCAATGACAATTCTCTGGTGTTGTTTCACTTCTCTTGCAATTCTATTTTATAGCAGGACATTATTTACTCCTCCGGTTCGCTCAAACGAGCTGAAGGGACTGGTAGAAGAAGTATTCGAGAATGTAAAAATTGTATGAGGAATTCTGAAAATATCTTGCACGAAGGAATACAAATATAAATTATTTCAAAGAAATTCTCCTGGAATTCTGTATGCCTTTTCAAAGTCCAAAGAGTTTCTATTCACTTTTATTGAACTTATAACGTCGTTTTGCTACTAAAAATATGTTTGCTATTGTAGCTCGTGTTATTTTCTTCATAAAGGATTTATGATTCGGCGAATGAGCAGGAACAAAAGTTCTTCTATTCACACGAAGGGTAAATACTGATAGCACTTAATTTCTGAGATATAAGAAATTATGAGAATATTGTGATATATTGCGCCAACTTCCAGCAGTCTTGGCATCGACTATTTGCATACCTCGTCATTTTACGTGAATCGGGCGAACAATAGTCTCCTGGAAAAATGAGGAATGAAAATTGTGAAAAGGGCGCATTGTCGCCAGTTTCCTTTGTCTACGGTCGCGGTCGTTTCAAGATTAGAAAATATTCGCAGTCACAATGACGTCGCCTTCGTCTGGATTCTTTATTTCTGTCCTCCACATTTCCGCACTGTTCGTTCGTTCTCCTTGCATTTCGTTTACTCACTTTTCGTTGCAGAAGCATTTTCCACCATAGGAAAGGTACAGGGAATATTAAACTACACATGAAAGAGCTCTGCCGGCGGAAACTGGTACTAAACTTCAAACGTACCCAGGAGCGTATGCTTTTACAGATACGTATATGTATACAGATTTGAACGCAGGAACTATTACTGATTGTGAGTTTCATGAAATTATCGTATTAGTATCTATATTATTGTATTATGATTGATTAATTGAATGCTTGTTATATGCAATAATGGCAGAAATCAGATCCGTTTCAATCCTTAAAAGTAGTGCGCTGTTACGGTTTTCTGATTTAATAAAATAAATATAATGGTCGTTAGGTTTAATCAGAATCAGTACCATAAAGGCTGTATGCTATTTATCTTGCTACCTACCTACTCTTACTTTTCTGATTCTTAACAGCATTATACAGTCTGTAATAACATATTGATCTTTTATCATGATGCCGGTGCATTCTTGCCCTTGAAATTTACATAGTTCAGGAACGAACGGAAATAGCAGGAATTGCAAACGATGCAATTTTTGTAAACCATATTTCTCTCTCTGAAACATTCTGATTCATTGCATTCATATAAAGGGATGATATATTATTAAAGATAATGCAAATTTTTATACATATCCCCACCGAAATGCAAGACCACGTATATAATCAACCGTATATAATTTCGTGCTCTTGAAAAAGATGGATTAGCTTTTTGAATAAATTTGTACCTTCAGATAAGTACTAAAATACTTCACGCTCATACGTCACGATTGCAGCCCTTTCAAGCAATTTGACGTGGAACTAATTAAAAGTCAGATTAACGTTAATTGAAAATCGTATAAGTGAATTTGTCAGCTAATGTAATTAGTAACAAAAAAAGATAAAGTTGAATACAGTAAAACCTGTTTTTGTACGGTGGATAGAGACCGCATAAAAGAAATCAAACAAAAAAATATTCGGAAATTTTATAAATTCTTACATATAATAAACAACTTTGTACGATATATTACCTAAAATTTTTTTTATGCGGTGGATAGGGACCTCATAAAAAAAGTCTGACTTAGAAATAAATCAATGATTTATGAAATAGATGAGACAATGCTTTCAATTAAATTAAATAATCAAATTAGACCTAAAGAAATTGTAAAAATATTAATTTCTTCATTGTACATATACATGGAGAAGTTTTCAAATTATACATTAAATAGTTTGCTGCTACTCGTCGTAATCCTAAACGCGCATCTTCTTGTGATGAATTGGTTGAAAATCGCTTTCGTTGCTTGAAGATAGGATTTTTTTTATTTTTTTTTTATTTTTTATTTTAAACAAACATTTTTTATTCCCGCGAGGTCCAGATACATCGTTCTCAAGGAGACCACGTAAACAGAGTTCATCCACAACATGTATATGTACATTGATAGGAAACAATAAACTGATGCTAACGCCGCTAATATTCATATACAGCATGAAAATAAATCGCACGAAAAAAATCGCACAAAAATAAAATCGCACAAAACCAATCGCACAAAAATAAAATCGCATAAAAAAGCACCGCACAAAAACAGGTTTTACTGTACACAACGTCGTAGATCCTTTTATATTAATGGCTGTCAGTCGTGACGACAGGAGCATCGCAAATAAAAAATTCAATTATCTATCGTTGTACTGACATGTGGATTGTGTAACATTACTGCACAAGGAGACGGAATTAATAATTAAAATGGCATTGCTGAACATGACGTTTACAGATCCATTTTTGTGTACTTGAAGAAAGATGGACGCGTACTAAAAAAATTATAATGCGCACCTTCCCTTTTCAATGAATTAAAAATTCCCTAGTCTCGCAAATATTAATATTTGAAAAAATTATTGGCGAACATCTGTTTCTGTCTTTGCGCCGAGTAATCTGACTCAAAAGATTACCGTTCAGAATAATCGATTTCTCGAAGTGTTTTTTGTGGTTCATCCGACAAAAAATCAGCTGTCTCATTTTCTGGTGTTATAGCCAGTCGTGTTTCTCGCAAACGGCGATTGCGAATTCGTTCTTAAATAATAAATTCCTCGTGTTCTGGAATCCACTGCAAAGCCCATCAGAGCGTCGGGTGTCCATGTGCAATTTGCCGGAATTTCCGGTCGCCAACGTTGACATCTACTGGCCGGAAATCCGGTCGGATTCGTCACAGATTCCGCGTACAATCTCCATGCTCTATTGTGACCACAAGTGACTGAAATTTTGAAAGAAATATTGTATCAAAATATTGTATCCATCGATTGCAATAATGCGTTATGTTATTTTTCTGTCATGCATTATAATGCAATAGTATATTGTGCACCGAGAGCGAAAACGGGCGTTTCTGCGCCGCGTATAAAATTGAGGTTCCCGAGGCGAAAGCGAGGGGTTCTCAACTTTATACAAGGCACAAACGCCCGTTTTTTAGAAAAAAGAAAAACTATTGTACCTATCAGATGTTCTTTAAAAGTATATAGAAAAATATGTACAAAAAGTGTTATGATACGCGGTTACGTGTAATATATAAATTAATTAAAATACCAGAGCAACGTAACGTAACAAAGTAGCACAGAAATAACTAGATGAAGAATGTCTACTTGATTCTATCGTAGGAACCACGCGAAATGGTATTGGGTCATTTTTGATACTCCCCACGCAATACGACGATTAAGGACTCTATCTCTGACCTACGACCCTGAGTATAGCAGATCTTAAGAAATATATCTATTAAGATATCGTTCGGTAGCCTAAATGACAATTCCTTATAAAAATTCAGCAATAATCCAAAACTCACTGTATTGATTAACTAATCGAGTAACTCCCATCGATATGAAGTTCCCTGCGATGCATCCAGGCTGCAGTGGTCTACCACCATTGGGATAAAAATCCGCATGACCGAGTGGTGTCAAAAATCCAAATATTCCTCCGTCGGTATGAATAACGTCAACAAATGTTGCATCAGCCGCCGTCAAATGACCATCCGCACCTGTGTTCATGTACAATGGATACGCAGCATCGAGTCCAGTTATTCTGCCTACCTGGAGGAAAAAAGTGTCACAATTAATCCATCTATATCATCCAATTTGTTTTCTATAAATTGAAAAGAAAAACTACGAATTTTTTAAGTTAATAATTGTAATAATTTTTTAGCTATATATATTTTAAAAATATCCCTGATAATGTCGCTCAAGATCACGATAAACTTACTTTTCGCGGCGCCAACGCTTTACCCATGAATCCAGCCGCTTCCGCTCCCAAACTGAATCCGACCACGTGAATCCTAGATATCGGAACTGCACCTTGAACGTCCAACCAGCTGACCATTCGTGCCACATATAATCCAACAGTTCTCGTATTGCTGACAGCGGTAACGTACCATGGCAGCGCACCGAGCTTACCCCAATCGACCAAAATTATATTGTACTCTCCGCGTCTCAAATATACTGCAAGCACGAATTGTATACGAATAGCAGTCAGAAGCTTCTTCTATGGTTTTGATACTACTCGGGCAAAAGTTTAAGTTGGCCATTTATCATTCTGACGAGATGTCTCGTGGTATTATGGGATGCTGCTATGACATGGCGTATTCTGATACTAGTGCAAATGGACCTAGAATCCTTTCGAAAGCTTTGTCGTACTTCATAATAAATTCAGTGGATTGCAAGTGGTTTGTCAAAGTAAATACGATGGGCACTTTGAAATTATAATGCTAAGTAAATACTTCACATAGATTTGTAACTATCAATAAAAATAGCAAATAATATTCTGATTGTTAACGCTTTAAATTTGAAGTTAAGAACATTTTTTAAGTAAAAAAATTACTTTGTTCACTACTTTAATTATTGTAAAATGTATTTTGGTATAATGCTATTACTGGAACCGTAGACAGAAGTGCAAAGAACGTCTTTGCCCAGGAAGTGGGTATTTGTAATTAAAAGACTATGACGAAATGTTCCGTCACGAAAATCAATAGATGGAATCTTGGTGTGACGAACGTTCTTCTGTGCTAGACTTTCTTAAAGGTGGGTTCACGTTGTGTAATTCAAAATACTGAACTGCGCGTTGGTACCGTCTCTAATCGTTGCTCCGCTGAGACCTGGTGCACGTTCGCTGTACCCGTGAATGTATAAGACTGTTGGATTGCTGCGGTTGAAGTTGCTCCTCTGCAGGCTTGCAGTTTCATTTAATTTCAGTAAGTTGGCCGTTGTTGGGTTGCGTCTTGGAAATAAGATGAAGTGTCTCAAGGAATTGCAAAGTGAAATTTTACAGTAGAAGTAGTCAAGATCGAGCACTATTTTTATAATAGAACATTATACGTAATGTCGTTGTAACAAAGGAAGATATTTGTAATACCCATAATTTGACGTAGCAGACGCGGAATTTTATTGATAATAAAATTCTTTGTAATTCCATGAAAAGTGTCAAGTGGCAAATTAACGTTTATAGCAAGAAGAACGTACTTCAGGTATAAAGAACTTTGACAATCATTCGAATCGAGTCGTCCGAGACGAAAGTTATTCTTGCTAAAGCAATGAAATCTCAGGATTAGCAACTTCAAAGGAAGCTGTGGCGCGGAATTTAATTGTTCTTACAAGCGATCGTTAGCGACAGGAATAATTAAGGGATGTAGATCACAATTCAAATGGCAATTAATCGAACCGGCATATTCCTTAGTTATCGAATCGAACTACTAAAGTCAATAAAATAGAAGCAGCGATCGCTCAGTGCTAAATTTGCATATAATAAAAAAATCACTAGTAGCCTAAGTAGCCGTTAGGAAGACTGATTCTATAAAATTCTAATTTTATTATAAAATTCTAATACCCGATATTATATCTATTTCAAAAATATCGTAGTTATCCGTCCGTAAGGTCATCGATGAATCGATTCCTCATAACTCATTGTCAGTCGTTCAAATTCTTTGTCCATAGTCACGTTCTACTTGGATCATCTCGAAAAGTGAAAATTCAATTAATGCGGAACATCAATTAATTTTCTTCAGCTCGACTTTCCGTCCATTAAGCATTGAATGGCAGGTTAATGACAAAAGTACCTGGTATACAGCTGGTACTCGATGTCACGATCTAACTGGATAGGACAACAAAGGGCACAGTTCCCAGCAGGGAAGGGTGACATGTGGACCGGGTAGTTACCTTTGACCAAATACCATTGATTATTAGCATAACAAAGCATCAATTGTAGAATTGGGCTTCGTCATAATCACCATCATTGCCAGCGATTATATCACGCGAGAAATCGATACATGACATAATGATTATTTTTTACTTGTTAACAAGTTTCAAAATCTCTCATGCTTCAATAAAATTGTGTATCGCGTACTTATTATCCGCAATTAAATAACTAATTATTAAACATTAAAACTTCAACCCTGTACCTACTTGCCAAATTTATGTTAATAGACATATTTATATTATATTCGTAATAAATATAATAGTAATATCAGGTTGTGAATCAATATATTTTTAAATCACAATGACCCTCAAATTTTTATCCTAATCACAATGCGCCTCACGTAGCACATAAAACCTTGCTATTGACATTTGCTACACATTCGATCAATAGTGTTAATCAAACTGCAAAAACCGGTCTTCGATTCGATATAAGGAATTGTTCTGTCATAGAAAGTTCAAGTATGACTAAACGAATCAATAAAAAAGAAAAAAAAAAAATCCGAAACATACTATGAGTAACATTAGTTACTATACTGTAGTAAATTGCACAATACTGGCTGTAAATCTTGCGCAAGTAATTCACGGATTCTTTAATATAAATTCACGCTCTCCATGCTGGTACATAACACTGGCACTTTTACCACCGTTCACACGGAGATAATGGAACACAGAGCCGTGAGATTTCCGTTCTGAAAATTTCGTCAGAGATATTGCAAAGTCTACTTCTATTAATAAATACGTTTACTTTCAATAATGAAATGTTCACCACGCACTATTTCACGGGATTTTCGTCACGATCGAGTGACGATATTGATACAGTTAAGAATTCTTGGTCTATAGTCAGTGCTAGGGAATTTATTGAGTTTTCTCGGCCGGACGATCGTGCCCACTAAATCATCCTGGTGGAACGTGAAATGCGAATCGCATACTTTCGTTTTTATTCCCAGGAAAACGATTCTTTGTAGGGAAATGAAAGTGTTTATGAGTTTTTATACGTACGCAGATGCGACACTGATTTCTCCTTGTAAATTAACCTATTTTTCGTATATGGTCGCTTTTATTATACCGATTGCGATTATTGGTGTTCTGACGAGAAAGTCGAATGTTTATTGTAATTTTACTAGAAGCATTATCTCCAAAATATTTGAGATACAGGTACAATACGACTTTGATAACTCGAACTTCTATCAGTCAATAACCTCTGTAAGACTATGAATCTTCGAATTTTCTAATGTTTCACTTCTATAAGTCGAAAATCTTGACAGGGCGAAGCTACGATAATTCCAAGCATATTTCGTTTTCCTTCACATTTGCGTTATCACAGTTCCACTGTACGTGTATACACTGTATATGACGTGTTTGTATTATCAACGTAACTTTATACGGTAAAATTTGACACGGTCAAATGATAACAAGTCTTCGTAATTATTTTTAAAACATCGCTTACACGTGTTTCTGATTTCGGATAGATTTACATGAGAAATAATTTTTTTTTAAAGAAAATCTCGGGAAAAATTTCAATGTCACGTAACGTTACTCCAAATGTGATATATCGGAAAAAATCTATTGCAACTAACACTGTGGCTGTTAAACGATTATTATTTACAATCCTTTTTTTGCAATTTTAAGCAGTTTTTTACGTAATGACTTAATGCGGTTTTATTATCATATATCTATACCTCGATATGTAACGAGTAATCGGCAAACATAAGAAGCCAGAAAGACAGGTAACATTATCCCGTATTATAGAAACTGCTCTTAGTCTTAACAAATTGAGGAATTAGTAACCGATCAGCGATTCGCGTCGAACTGATGAAAACTGACAGTTTACGAAGATTTTGTTGCCAGAACGAAAGTTTCGACACTTTTTGCTGTCATGCTACCATTTTTTGGTGGTCATTGCCGCCGTACACGTAACTACTGACTTAATTTACAACAACGAGTACGGATAATAAAACTATGAGTTAATTAGACCAAACTATTATCAGCTGTTTAAGTAATTACGAAGTATAAACGGGAATCACTTACTCCAATTCAAAGTCACTGTGATGCATAAGACACCAGCGAGAAAATCCGGAATCATTTCGAAAATTAACATGAATTTATGTTTAATTAAATTTTAAGATACAGAACAGATTTGATTCTTGAACATTTTGATAATTTTTAATTGGATTTAGTATCAAGTATCGATCATTAGTTTATAACTGATTTAAGAGTTTTGTGTTTCCACTTGAAATATTGGTATTAAAATGAAAATTATAAATAAAATATTGTATTTAATGAAATTATTACTTTAAAATTTATTTAATACATTAATATTATTACTTGTAGATGTCTTTTTATTATATTATTTCTTTCACTGCCGGTACATCTTTCTAGGCGAAAAAATTCAGTCCAATTTCGTTTATCACATTAATTGAGAATTTCACGTATGAAAATGATTTTTATGACAACTTTCGGAAATCAAAAGCCCGGATCATCTGATCATTTGTGGCAGTAAAGTTATGTTCAAAAAAATATTATCGGCGCTCCATTAGATATATGTATGTTACACTTCTTCCAGTGAACATCTCCTGCACTTTATTAACACGGTATCTCCAGTGACGAATGGCAGGAATTAAGTATTCGTGTTAAAGACACACTCCTGTTACGCGCTTCCTGTCAACGTCCCTGCCACCTGAAGTGAGCACTCCGCTGGAAAATTTTTCTCTCGCGATACCTTCACGATTGTCTCCTTTCTACTGGCAGGAAATTTATTTTTCGAAACTAATTCCATCTGCGTCAAAAACGCTGAAATTTAGTAAAGAATCTATCCGTTGAAGAATTACTCACACTTTGGAAAGTTACAGTAATTCACTTGTGTAAATCGTATTTTTAAACTCAAGTGTCACTGCACACCCTAGAGCTATTCCTTGTGACTTGTATACGCAGAACATTCTGTATAAGCTATGAGTATAGACACTGAGTACATAAGAATAACTTTCAATAACAATAATCACGAATGGGGTATGTCCTGCATGAGCACAGGTTCTTGATCTTATGAATCAACCAGTAATCTTGTAAAGAGTTTTAAAGTATCGCTAGGGCATTCTTGCAGTTATGATAAATGCCTGAAAGCCAATCGTGAAAGCGTTTTAATAGAACGAAGTCAGAGTCTAGTTGTGGTAGGAGTGGTGGTACTTTGACGTGGAGTGGCTGCTCTTGGGACAGGTTCTAATTTCTCAAAACGGTTTTCTCAGTGCACGAACTTGTTGCTACTCGATATCATCAGGATCGAAGGACATAAATTTTCTAAAAAAAGACAGCGAAAGGTTTACAGGGAACGAAATTCCATTGGATTTAGAGATATCGTTGCACCGTGTTACGTCGAATAGAGTATAACGTGTATATCTGTATTGTGGATTTTTTTATTGATTTCTACCACTACTCATTTTCATCTGTAGTTAGAGCGCTGCAGTGTGGTTTGAAGAGACCTGGAGGTTAATGGTACTTAGTGCCATTTCTTACTTTTAGTAGTCGCGGAAATAGCAGCAGGCAACTATTTCACGTAAAAGAGTGTTAAAAGCCTTGACCGCATTTCCCAATAATAGTTTCTTACTTTTCCATCTTCTCTTATTTTGCTCTAAGTGTTCGTATAAGGTACAAGGACCTGCATTTGTATAAAAATCCATCAGACCCAATGGATATATGAATGTTCGATTTTATTTTAAAAAATGGGAAACCAGTATCTACGGTCCATTCGAATACTGCTTAATGAAAGCAAGCAAAATTGTTCTTGGTACGTCTCGATATAATGCATTTTCCATCCATCTTACGTCCATCACGATTTACGAATCAATAACGAAAAAGAATATTTTTCAGAAAATTCATATTTAATAAGTTTTGATTTTTAATCTTTTACCTTTTATTTACGTTAGTACGTATAGTGTATAAATCTCTTACGTATTCTGTATATATATTTATTATTCTATCAAATATAGCTATATTCATCTTCGGTATACAACTTGTCTATAAAAAAGCATGTACATATCCATTTTTTCAAAAATAATGCACTTTGTCGAAATTTGCAACGGCTGGAGTTATGTTTCTATTGGATGCAGAATTTTCTCAGGTTATAAACGTATGGAGTTTTCAGCATTCAGACAAAATCAAAAACTGAATTAGATTTTTGGTAGTGATATATGAGAATTTTTGAACGTTCGATATAAGAGGGTAGCAAAGGTCAGTTTCGAATGAAGGAGCGGAAATACATACATATATATATGTGTAATATAGGGGATGAGAAGTCGATGTAATAGAAGAGGAATAATGGCGAGTGTGTGTATGTCACCTATGAAAAGTTGCCGTAGTCCCGTATGTAGTGGTAGCGGTGGGGATATTTTGCGCATCATCCCCCTAATATCTGAAAACCACCCTGACCCAGATCCGGGCTCACGGACATGCGGAGGGATGAACGAATGGACGCTCCCGTCCTAGACCACCATCCAAATATATATTATCTTGGCGTACACGTAGATTATACCTTAAACCACCGTTACAAAGACAATTCTATTTTGTCGACAGTGTACACTTGCTCCTACGTCATCCGCACAGCCACTCAGTGCTCAAGAATTGCTCCGACCCAAGCAGCAAACTCCATTCAGAAATTGCTTGCGAGCTCTGCGACAATTTTGGCAACGTCGATAAATAGCACGACAGAAAATATGATAGAATTGTTTTATTTTGTTTATATATTTTTTAGTTGTTTATTTCTTAAAATTAAATTATGTATACTTACTCAACAAAAGTCTAATACAAGGTCCGTTAATCTCTTTGTAACAAATTCATTATATTTGTTATACCTTGTAGATATTAATATTATTAATATACATGTAAATGGTAGTTTGTGAAAATTATAGTAATTAATATTGAGCGATACGGACAAATTGCCTTATGGTATATACAGTAAAATTAATTATTAATCTGCAAAAAAAAGTTTAATATGTAAGACGAACTTTATTTTTTAGTGCGTATAATATTTATCAGAGCTTCGGTTATCTCTGGCGCCCTATCGATAACGTACCGTGTCAGATACAGTATCGATTCGCATCAGTGCCCGACTTTACGTTGAATTCTATTCTTGTTGGCAATATCATTTTTACTTTGGGCTCGTCCCGAAATGACCATTTGACCCCTGACGTAGTAAGATGTATTACTTTAATTATGCTTGTCTTGTTTCTTTAGGATAAACTGTTGACCAAGCTCGAGGAAAATGAACCGGAACTTGCCTCATCGCAGGATGACGAGGTGAGTTATAATGAGGAAATCTTTGAAAACTGTATTAAAGTATTCTGGCGTTAATGTCAATTACGCTGACTCTTTTTTTAAAAAAAATGAAAATGGACGCGCGAAAAAGTTTCTAAGAACGAGGCGAAACTTTTGTTAAAACTGGCTGCTTTTCTTAATAAGATTATTAAGTATCTGTTTTCACGGGAAAGTCTATTCTCGTATACTTGGTCTAACAAATGTTAGATCGATGTTAAAAAAAATTATTTTTTTCTTTAATTTTGTAACTTGCCATAAACAAGTTCTTGTATGTCAGGCACTAGTTGTATCAAATCTGTAAAATATATATTTATTTATATGGCTACTTTTAAAATTAATCTAACCTGCGAACTTGTTTCTGTCCGTTACATTAACATATGCTTGATAAGGATACCTACAGTGATAAGTTCTCAACACTCAAAATGTACAAAGTCAATTTTACAGTTTTTATATTTCTGTTAACATTTAAGAAGATTACTAAATTAAAGACATAACGTGGTAACAAATACAGTATCTTACATTTAATTCGTATTTCCCGCGTAAAATGGTCAAATATTCAAAATCGATCCGGTAGTGCGGCTAGATTTTCTGGAGACGGAATTTGATATATCTCTATGAGATACCAGTAAATCGTTTGAAATTCCACAGTGCACGTGCGCTACAACAATTCAAGGAATACTTCTACGTAACATTCATGTGCTAAATCAATAAACGAATAGCGGTTGTCATTTATCATTTTTCTTGATCTTAATAGATCGATCAAGCAATAAAAGCCAAAAGTTCAAAAGGTATTTTTTTCAGATAGAAAATACCGATACTATAAAATTCTTAGTGCGATGAAATAGGTAAAACGAAATAAGTCAAAGAAATAGGTAAAACGCGTTACTGACGTTAATTGAGTTTACGCGTCACCATATCACCGCAGGATCACTTCCGAGTGTGTATATATATATATATATATATATATATATATATATATATAAGCCATTTTCTTCAATTTGATTACAGTAAATTTGTTATCCACTTTACCATCTTCTCTTCTTACTCCTTGGGCATCAGCGTTCTCTTATTTCATCAAGTTAACGAATTTATCCCATCTTCCCAATTCAAACCATTTCCATGACAGCAAACTCTCCACTACCTGCTGTTCGAGTAGAAGGAACAACAAAGAATTACTGCATACCAGACATACAATATATTGACAAGCATCACGATATAAAAAAAAATAAAATAAAAATATTGTACAAAGCAAACAACCGAGTGACATAACCTACAGGAAATGTTTTTCTGGCATTTTTAAAATGAATAGAAATCATAAGAGGCGACCGTCCGCGACGGAGTGCGATATTAAAAATCCCATAAAACATGAACTGCGGATGAAGTCCACGATGCGTTTTAGCAGCCATTGTTGAAGAATTGCAGGAAACATTTTTTTTTCGTTGAAGGTACCTCTCTCTCTCTCTCTCTCTCTCTCTCTCTCTCTCTCCCCCTTTTTCTCTCTCCGTATGTCTCTTTTTATTTACTATTCCGACCGCAATTCTGTGTTCTGGGAATTTAACAGCCGGCTATTGGACGCTTGAGTGAAAAGAGGCGAGAAACAATCCTGAATACTTGGAATCGTTACGCTCAGTGCATTGTTTCTGCCTTCCTGACTCGTATCGTTTTTCTTTGATTTTTCTTTTTTTCTTTTGTAATTCCAACCACGATTCGAAAAATTGTCCGCGACGACACAAAATACGTTTTACCGTCGAACATGTATAAAAGTTTACAGCATCCACAGACATTACAACAACCATGAAGTGGATTCTATTTGTGACTGTTGCACCGCTGCTCATTACTCTGGCGGTAATTATACGTACTATTTCATTTAAAGTGCCGTTTAATGGATCGTAGATAAAATTAGTACCGGACGCACAAACTGCATTAGTGAGTCCTTTCTGTTTGTAAACTGCATTGCTATCGATAACGAGAAGTTTCAAGTAGGCACTGTAGATACGTTTTTGTTTATACCCATCGAATGGTAAGAGCGTGTACTATTCCATTCGAAATATTGGTTAATGATCGATGAGATGGAGCTTGGTATCGCATGTAGACATTACAGTAATGGGGAAATTCGATACATTCAAAAATTGCCTTGTTATCGTTATCAAGGAACTGTGTTGCAATTATATTTTTGTTACGCACGTTACCCGTTTAGTATGCATAGCTAGTTTTATTTAAATTGAAAATCGCTAGTGGTACTTATTTATTTTGATAACAATAGTAATTCACTTTCGAATTTTTCAATTTTTGTATCCTGAAATTAAAAAAATATTTTTTCACTGTAAACAAATCTAACGCACATATTACTCAGTGGGGATCACCGCATGGTGGTCCTGGCGGACCGTATGGTGGTCCTGGAGGCCCTGGCGGACCGTATGGTGGTCCTGGAGGCCCTGGCGGACCGTACGGTGGTCCTGGCGGTCCTGGTGGACCGTTTGGTGGTCCTGGAGGCCCTGGCGGACCGTATGGTGGTCCTGGTGGTCCTGGTGGACCGTTTGATGGTCCTGGTGGCCCTGGCGGACTGTTTGGTGGTCCTGGAGGCCCTGGCGGACCGTTTGGTGGTCCTGGTGGTCCTGGCGGACCACCACCAGGAGTACCACCGCCATGGGGTTCTAATAGCGGATGGGGCGGCGTATCCCCATTTAATGGTACCACCACCACCACCACCACCACAACAGCAGCATCCACTGCTAATAATAGTATGTTTTGGAACATTTTAGTGAAAGAATTTTGAAAATCCCTTCAACTCTCACATAGGTCGGTGATATCTTATGAGACTGAAAATTAAATTCCTTGTATATGAATTACCCATTATCAATTCTTCGTCAATATTGTATGTTTTACTAATTCCACAGTAATTACCAACTATGTTTATAACAATAATGAAATATTTTAAAACTTGTTCTGATGATTGATTTCAAGGCGGCTGACGACCTTAATCACGGCGAGGATTGCAAAGTGGCTAGTGCTGGAACCATGACCTATTCAGCTTTATCAAGAATTATGTCTCACACATGCGAGTTCAAGAAACAATATAAATATTAGAATGTAGTTTGCCGTGCTTCGTCTAGAATTAGAATGATATAGCATAAATAACAAAAAAATACTTTCTCTGAAAACTGGTTTCTCTGTTTTCTTATTATCCTTTAATAACATTAATTTACAACACACATTTACTGAAATAAATTAAGGTAACGTTTTAACGTATCTCTGTCTACGCATCTACACAAGAAGTGATAATATCATACACGAGATGAGTTTTATAATAATTACTATTATTTATTTTTGAATAATTTTTGAAAATATATTTTAAACTATTTCCTTTGAATACCATAGATTTTTATTTGACAACGCCATAACGCCTCTTTCATTTTTCTACTTTTCCAAAAATCATAAATTACTTCGTTAACTTCAGCCTAGTTTAGCCAGCTTCCTATTAATTTAAGAAGGGGTCGTTTAACCAATAATTTGAATTTTTTTTGAAACCAAAGAGAATAATGCATAGCTTTCATTGTGTCTAACATCATCGTTCTACGTACATTCAAATAATGGAATTGTCTAACAGTAGCTATAATTGGTATCTTCTCAATATGGAAAAAAAAAATTTCTAATGAACAATATTTAATAATTCCACCATATAGTTCTAATCATCATTTTATACCTGAAATTACACTTTGTTGTGAATATATTTGTTTTTACTCCAATTCAATTGCTTCATCAAGGTTGACGAAAAATAAAAATATCCGCTTGATTTCTTTTTATGAGCATATTTTCTTCTTCCTGTTTTTATCTTCTTCCTTATACACACGAATCAAAAGATAGGATAGGTAACATGGAACTACCAATTGGGACGGTCTGCTTTTGCTCAATCGTATTCTCTTGATTGACTCGTCTCCCAAAAACAGACTTGCCCTGCTTCAGTAATTGCGTTAATTCTACGTTAACGAGTGTCCGGAACAATATTATCCGGAACAATGTTGATTGGAGAAAAGCGAAAAGCACGTCCGTTTCAAAAAATTGTCGTTAAAGCGGAATCGTCGCAATTTCCGGATGGATTAGCTGGCCAATGGCTCGCGAAAATGGATTACATGACTACAAAGTGATGAGTCGAGCGAGTAGCGTTCTCGGTTCTACCCTTAAACGGCACCCTATTAATATTATAATTGAATTCGCCTTAAAGGTTATTGGATTACATCGTGGGCTTAATCTAACGGCGAAGGTCGCCATGAAAGTTCTGTCGCTTTCAAAACAAGTCAAAGTTTCATGTAAACATAGTTTTCTAATTTTTAAATTACGTAAAACTCGCTCATATAAATTAATTTATAAATACTTTAAGCGTTTGTACTACGCGCTCTTTGAATCTCACGATAAAAATATCAGAGAAAATTATCCTGCACGTGAGTGCATATGCACCGTGTGACGAAAATGAATAATACAAAAAAGAATTAGCGACAAATCTAAAAGTTTCTGTAACGCTTTTACATAAGAGTAATTACGTGCGAATTTCCTTGTTTTTCATATTCTCTCGTAAGCCGTCGTCGTATAATTGGACAATAACAATTTTTTTTACTCCTAAATAATTACGATTACATCCTCCATATAAATCTATACGGTGATATGACTTTACTCAGGTTTCAAATTTTCGAAGCAACAGTCTGTTGTTTACAATCCTTGTGCCATGAAGTATTTGCTTTTCTTAACGTTTGTGCTAGTCTTAGAATTGACGGTAATATATCATACGAATGAATTTAAAACACTCCACATTTTTTATCGCACCCGTTCATAATTTTTTAGAAAAATATTTTGACGAGTATGTTTCTAGGTGGGGATTGAATTACGGCAGTTTTTAAGACTGGACCAGTCGGCTTCTCACGGTCAGGGTAGTGTATCCTGGGGGAGGCATTATAACGGACACGGAAGATTTCCTCTAGGAAATTGCACTATGCCTGGCAATTTCACTAGACTTCTCAATAGTACATCAGGTTCATTGTTTTTTTTTATTATATGGATTCGACTTTCAATAATAAGAAAAAAAATCTCGAATTACGTACATCCGTATGTTCTAGCTAAATTAAAAATTGCTTTGCTTTATTTAACTATAATAAAAAGATAAAAAATTCTTAACTATGCACTTATTTCATTTTAGGTGTGTCTATGTCAGTACAAGTGTCTACGATGACATGATCAAGTAATATGAACTTATCGACCCGACCAATCGACAGCAGATAACTAAATCTAAGCATGAATTACAGAAACGTATGCTTATATTGTAAAAAAAATTCGCACCATAAAAGCACTTATGAATAAAATATAATACGAACCTTCATATGGCGATTGATGATTTTCATATTTGTGTTGAAAATATCGAACACGTCAGTGTACGACGCTTTGCTCCCTTTATCATAGAAATGTTTACAATGGCGTTATCACGCGATAACAAAACTTGAAAATCGATTTTTTTACGATGTCTTTTTTAAACATACCAAAATGTACTCAATTTCATTTTTACTCATCCTCAACATTCAATTACGAATTTACACCATTCAACGATTTCACTCTTAATGAAGTAGACAAGAAGAAAATCTCTATGACATTTATGAACACTAAATAAAATCTGCCAAGATGATTCATCTCCCGGGTGTGCTTTTTATGGATTTTAAGAATTGCTTCGTTCAGAATGAAATCCGGAACTGTAACCGCCCCTGACTTTTTTTTTAAAACCTCTTTGCGTTTCAACGACCCACGAAACGAGATTAATCTCGACCTTGGAACCCAGCTTAAACCTTCTCGTTAGCGCGATTCAATTAAGCGCGGGTCCACGAGTTTTATTTGAAGTTTTGATTGAGCGAAGGTTTCGTACTTGTTTTATTATCAGATCCCTTTAGTTTTTTTTAATTCAGGACGCTTTAACAGTGCCTTCTTTTTTGTCATAGCAGTCGTCTTTACGAAACACTATTAAATCAATGTTACGTTAAAAGGCTTCTCTTTGGATTGATCGAACTTCTCGAACTGCTCATGGCGTTGCGTGATATTTACAGGTTTCTCACGCATTCTGTTTCAGTGCGTAATATGTGTCAATGCCAGAGCTACCATGCAGACTGCGCCTTGTGGTCATCGGGTTGTTTGCAGGTATTCACAAAGATTAATAAATATTGTTTTTACGATTAAAAAACTTTTATTTAGATTTTTAATTGATATTTAATTTAAGATACACTAGATACAGAATTAATATTTATTTGATATACATGTATTTGAACCTTAAATACTCATCTTCTTTTGACTTACATATGTCGTAAAATTATTTTCTAAATCCAAAATCGATTTCACGATCTAATCATATTTCATTTACATTTTCTGACAAATACAAAAATACCGTACAATAGTATACATATGTATATTCTTTCATATAGTTTATACTATATACAGGTCCAAAAGGATTTTGTTGTATAATAAGGCTTTGACTGATATTTGAAAGTTTGCTAAAGTTCCAATACCCTTATACATCAGTGATATATATATGTATGCCACAAAGTTACATATATAATTCGAAGGAACTTCAATTTTACACACTACGTTGATTACGTAGCGTTGAATATTTCGTGTAGTATACATATTTGTTATAAAACATATTTGAGTAAAATATAAATGTTAAAAGTACACGTGGAGAAGGTTTTAGTGTAAAGTTTTTTCGCGTAGAATCGGTCCTTGCCCATGTAATTCTATATGAATATTTATATATGTAACATTTAAACGCTTTACGAGTAACGACAATAATACAACATCTTGCTTGGGTTTATATTTGTGCAATACACAGCTAACATTAAACATCTTACAAAAATTTATTTCCATTCTATTTCTATTTATAATTAATGAAAAATCTTGGTTTTTTATGCGCTTACTTCTGCTCAGACGTTGTTTTGTCAAAACAATACAAATGGCCGTTTCGCAACGACTTCTACCTCTGAGATGCGTAATCTGCCGAGCGAAGATTTTGAGATTGAAGCAAACCCTCATCCCACGAGATGTAAGCAGTTTTAATTTCATGTTGATTCCCACAGTTCAAATTAACCCAGTCGATTTTGTTATTCGTAATCAAGGCAGCTCTTCACTAATTACAATAATCGTAATCAAAGGCTTGAAGTCCAAAGTTGAAAATAAATGTTAAAACTACCAATTTCATCTTATAATAATGATAAAAATGGTATACTTTTTCTCGTACCAACAGATACCCCAGTTTTCTTGAGAAAATTAGAAATTTCAAGTCAATTCCACATAGAGAACAAACGATCGAAAAAGTGTGAATAAATATTAAGTCCCATACTTTACACAAAAAAAGCTTACAAGGTCTAAAAATATGAGATTTAATCCTTAGCCACACTATACTTAAGATTTTTACAATTATTACTTCAGAAAACCATTATATGTTGCTATACTTATTTGAATTGTGTCCTTAGTGTTTTCAGTTGTCATTTACTATATTCGTTGTAAAATGGGAAAATTATATTTTAAAAATATTCATTCGCAGTACTCCATGTCTGGCAAGTCTTGGGTTCTACCCCAAAGTGCATCAGCATACAGTATGGGAACAGGAGTTGCCGTCGGAGTGTCTGGTCATGGAAGATGGGGTACAGGAAATGTACCAGCTTCGGCATCGTTATACTCTATGGCTAGTGGATCGTCCTCCATATCCGGTAAATAAGAACGCTGATAACAGTAATAAGATGTTACTTCATTTAATCGAATGATTCATTATATACATACAAATACGCTTCATCGTTTTATCATTATTAGGGGTGTCTTCCGTGTCATCGTCAACCAACAGCTCTGGTAGTTCCACCCTTGGTAAACCTACAAGGGTACGGCAACCCACTGGAGCAACCCTGAGAAGATCTCAAACCCAATCGATGAAGCTAAGAATTCAGGTAATTCAGCAATAGTCAGTCATGCCAATGCGACTATATGAAACTAAATGTTATACTTCCTAAATATTTTCAAAAAAAAAAAATGAACCCAAGACGTATAGTAACATACCTGGGAAATTTGAGTCTAGGAAAACTTTCTTTCAAATAAGTGTATAATACGAAGGGTTAAAATGTTGGATAATGATATCGTGGTATAACATAAAATCTTAAAAGCAAAATTCTTTCTCCAAAAATTGATCACGTACCTATAAATAGATCAAGAACTAAATCTTTAATTTTTTAACGAACGAAGAAAGTTCCATTAAAGTCAAACTTAAAGATCGACCTTTAAAATCAAAAGTGTTCAAAAGGTATCAGAATTGATACAGGAACGATTATTATTATCCTGTAGGAGTACCAGGATCCCATTCAGCAAGTCGCGGAGGAGGATGATGCGATGCGAGAAAATCGTGAACGACGATTGCCACCCATAAAGGAGTTCCAAAGGGACTATCGAGCCGGAAAGGCGTCTACTAGAATACGGTAAGTATTTTGGAAAAAAATCGCATCGGTTATGCTTTCAGAAACCAAACTTATGCCATACACACATAAGTGATATGAGTATATGAAATGATCAGATTTATTATTTACTGAAGGATTAACGTAATTACATTTATTGACATATACATCTAGATATGGATACAATAAATATTGAATGAACCCATTGGTACACATTCTTCTTTACCGTATATTCTGAAAGCAAATAAATTAGAAATATTAGAGGTCAGTAAGGTTCTAAGCAAATATCGTTATACTAAGTAATATCCGTCTTTATATTAAATAAGTATTAATATTTGTCGTGTTCAGATGTGCCCAGAAAATCGTAACTCAATTGGAAACTTCACCGAGTCGACGAGGCACCTCGTCCACGATGCCAAGGGAGAGTACTTCGTCTTCGAGCTCTTCGACGAGGACGTCCATCAAGAGATCGTCATCGGCCGTCACGCCGAAGACGACAATGACGGTCGCCCAGGAGGTGCAGAAGACGAAGAAGGAGAAAGAACGTGAGAAGGAGCGCGAGAAGGCGGAGAAAGCAAGACAGAAGGAAGAGGAGAAGGCTGAGAAGGCACGTCAGAAGGAGGCGAAGAAGTTGGCCAAAGAGGAGAAGAAGAGGGCGAAAAAGGAGGCCAAAGCGAGAAGAAAGGAAGCCGAAGAAGCTCTCCTAAGGGATGAGAAGTAGTGGATGTTGAAGGAGCGTACTTGATCGTAGAAGTATTTTAATATCTGCCTGATGTCCCAGTAGATTTTTTTTTTTTTCAAAACTGTGAAAGCGGTTTATAGATTCATTAAGAAATGTCGACGTGTTTCGAAATTCTATGATGATTTTGAAATACTGTTATTTAGACATTATCGTTGGTTTTAAACTTTTGGTGGGACTGGGAGGTTACATTTCGCGGGTGGAAATTAATTGTGTGAATCTAGAAGCGGCCAAAACTTAGTATCTATCATATCAAACCATTTACCAACATGTCATTAGTCATTCGCCGTAGACACAAGTTGAATAGTCATTCTCGTAAAAAACGTTCGTATTCAGAACATATATTCGCATACGTAAATATTAATCCATAAAGTCGATTGTTAAAATGTTCCAGTTGAATTTTCAATAAAATTCCACGAGTCGATTCGTCTAACACGTAACGAAAAGTTGTTAAAAAGACATTTTCGATTGGAAAGAAAAATATTAAGTAATTAATCAAACCGCAATTATTGATCGTAATGATCTGTCGAAATACGTCGCTGACATATTGATTCTATGAATTTTAATTAGAGAAATCGAACTTGACTAAGGATGTTTCGAAAATGCAATATACATATATTGCATTCAATACTTTTTGAGATTTAATCAAAAGATCACAATAGCCACTGCGCATCCATTACATCATCTTAGTTGTAAATACATCAAGAATAAAATGGGAAATGCGTTTCCTGAAAAAGGTATGAGAAACAGAAAGACGAAAAAGACGAGGAAGCAGAATCGTAATACTTGTATTATGAAACGTAAAGGGACAAAGGGTCGAGGGAATATATTCGTTTGGAATAGCCTAAGAGATCAATTAATAAAAAGCGAATAGTATCCGATAAAATTAGCATAACATTAAATATTAGAGTGTCGGAGAATCTCGACGTTATAATTTCTATTCGGAAAGATTTTTTTTATAAAGAAAATATCAAGTAAGTTAAAAAATTTATTTTCCGTTTATTTCGAGCAATAGGTAAAATTCCAATATTTGTTTGACATTTTAAACATTTTTATTAAGCACCCAAATTATGGAGTGATTATGATTTGTCGATACGCTTTGACGCACGATTAAATAATACTTAATAAATGAATTAATGAATTCTCGTATAATCGACATTTATGGACTAGACTCGTTGAATGATACAAAGAATCCTTAAACAGCATGAAGATTTAAATATATTTAATGAAGAGCATCGATATACCTATATACGATGATTTAAATCGAATAAACAAAACTAAAAAGATGAGAAAATAAACACATGTATACACGATTGATGAAGTCGCTGAATCCAATAGGATTAATTTTGCTAATAATTAGTATACAGCTATCCACTGGCCGAACGAGAATCAAAAGCAGGTTTTTACGCTACACAGAGTTCAAGGGAAAACTTGTGCGTGTACAGAACAAAAAAAATTCAATATCAAAAGTAAAACCGAGGAAATATCTTTACTTTAGAGAATCGCCGTTATAAGAGGTAGACAGTATTAAAGCCAATTAAAAAAATGCAAAATAATTAAACAAATTTTTCTAAATACAATTTCGAGTCGCGAGTAGCTCGATGTGACTTTATCGTTAAAAATACTCCGATCCTCTTTTATTTCTCGTAGTCTACATACCTGTTTACATATATTGAAAATTATTGACAAAAAGTGTATCTTGTCACCATGTAAAAGTTTACCGGCTACTTCAATTAATAGAAAAGCGTGCGTGTAGGAATAGCGAGCGTGGAACAATTTGTCCAGTCGATAAAACAGATTTCTTCTTCAATGTTGCAAATACGTTTGGCATTCAGCAAGAAAACAAATATTGTTATATAATCGATATTGCACAAATTTTGTAGTTCACGAGAAACGAAGAAAATGAAAACTAAGCTTAAAGGTAAAATAGAAAAAATTTCAAAACACCGCCACGCACATATCAATAATTAATAGTACGTAACGTGTAGTCAATTATTAACGATGATTATCGGGAGCCGTATCGAAATGATCGTTCGTGATAAGTAGCCAAAAATATGACGAATAGAAAAATAACCAAATTTTGAATTTTCCTTGATAACGTAAAACCACAGAGATAGACGAATATCCACGATCGTTATTCCCGGGGCGCAACTTAGGATAAATCTGGTTGTGAAATTTTCCTGAGCGATTTTTGAAAAGGAGAAACAAACCAATTAATGATCGTACGAACAATTCGAGGATTCCTGAGTAAATCGCATACTTAAAAAAGGTAGTCAAATATTATCTGCCATTGAAATGTCAATTTTATCAAGTACATAAAGATCGCCTAGTATTTTCGTCGTTATAATGTAATCAACATCATCGAAAATACATGGCAATTAACATTATTCCTTATATTATACAAAAACAGTTTCAAGATACGTAAAACGCTACTATTACTTATTCCCTGCGAGCACATAAAACGGAAAACAAGTCATTTTTGAAAATCATGAATCTCATAGCATATCAACAAATTAAAGAAAAATTAATTAACCAAATTTTTACAAATTTAAAAAAAATCTGGGTCAACTCTGTCTAAGTATATTAAGGCGCAGTTTTACTATTCAAGCTTCAAGTTTAGCTATTCCAGAATTGTTTTATGCTGGCTAACTATGAGCATTGAAACGTCGGATTTAACTAAACTTTCGCTTAAACTTGAACGATAAAGCTGCTCTTAAGTTTCGTAATTTGAAGAAAACTTTGTAAAATGAAGCAGGAGTGATAGCAGCTCTCCTAGCAATTTGACAGGTGATAAAATATAAGCTTTCTTTTAAGACACTAATTCCTTCTACTACCGATGAGAAAAAGACTGACGAATCTTACATGGAGCTCACCCAGATTTCTGGTTACGTGAAAACAATGGCTGCGTAATTGTTTGAAAATAGAGATCAATATTATTTAGAACTTCTCGTATCTGACGTCAGCACTCCACATAAGTCTGCATACAAGAAACGAGTGGATAGCAGCCTTAATTACAAAAATATATAGCATGTAAATCTTGTAAAGCAAAAAGTAAACAGTCCTACCAATCGTATACGCAAAATAACGACGAAAAGACTATGCGATCCAGCCGGAACAGACGAATGTACGGTATACACAAAGTGTTGGCAATAATTTCTAATTAAATGAATGAATTAATGAGTAACGATGCATTATGACGATTATGATACATCGTAAATAATGTTACATTACATAATAAGACGTTTGTAGACAGTTTATATAGGAAGTTAAAAATGAGCTAGAGCATATAGGCGCATCGAGTTCTACGTTGTCAACTGTTGGTTATAAAAACTCGGACGTTAATCGCTTCGACGTGGTATATTGGTTTTTCCAAAAATTGATTATCCTGTGCAATTTATGCAAGTGAACAAACTCAACAAGGATAGATGTACTGTTTGCAGTCACTGTACAATTTTTGGTCATACTTGTCAAATCTTTAACTAATTTCTGGTATAATTAATTTATTGAATTTTTCAATCAATTACAAAAGTATCGGTTAAAGTATCCCTAAAGGAAATCATAAACAAAATTTTTTAACTTTTAATTATTCAAAAATTCATTTTTGCCGATTAAAGCAGTTTCCTACCGTTTGTGGCCATCGGCTTCATTTATATGTAACGAATAAGGTCACAAATGAATCAATTTCATAGTATACATACGGTATACTAAAGTGGCCAAAAATGGTACATCCACCCTATCCTAATATAGTAATACTAAGTATGCAGTCGTTATGGTTCGAGCTAATCAGTGATCTTTCCTGCGATCCGCGCGATAAGCGATGCGAAAGAAGAAATGCGCATTCCTTGAGTTTAAACTTCCATTCCCGATAACGAGACGCATCCGCGCATGCGCGTCACTCCTTTCGCGTCTCTCGCATGTTCCGAATGGCAGATGGTAATCGAGTAAGAACAAAAATAAGCCATTTATATCGTAGCGAGAAAGTTAGAGGCTGGATGACGTAGCTTTTTTCTTTTTCTACGCGCGCTTCTTCTTAGGGAACTTTGTGGGCTGGTGGTTCGCATTGACGGGCTGATTATTGTGGAAAATTGCGCGGTACACATTGCCTTTGACAGGTTGATTTTAACGAGTCTATTTTTCGTAGGTTTCATTTGAAATGGCATACAATAATGGACGATTATTATAGACGCGGGACTTTGGTGCTGCGTACTGTGTCACGGTCTTGTAAGGACAGCAATTACTATGGAGAATCAAATAAAACGTTACGATGAATATTAGACAATTATGTATTTCACTTTATTACTTGAACCTCCATTCTTTCCTTGGAAAGTATACTTAATTCCAGTCTTAAATGTCAAACTCTTACGGGTAAAACAGAATTTGCAGTGACACGTTGAATATACTTCTTCAGAACTGGAGGTTGTTTTCAAATGCATGTATATAATGACATGAATATGCTTGCAATACAAGGTGTGAATTTTGGATAGTTGTTTTTGGTATTATCTTTGAATTGGAAAATAATGGCAGAATAATGTGTTAGCGGGTTTAGTTTAGAAAGCTTGGCAAAATTGAACTATTTCATGGCAGTGTTCTATGTTATTACTGACCTTTATGGTGTTTTAGTTTAAAAAGAATCACCGGTGAGCAAGCGAAATTGACAGAATAACACAATAACATCACTGTAAGTAATGTGCTGTGATGGATCATGCAAGTCCCGAACGGACCACACCATTGATTATCGTTTGTTTGGGGTTCAGTTATCTTGGGATCGGTTGACTCTGCTAGTATAAACTGTAATCTAAAAAATTCCATATGATAGGAACTAGAGCAGTAACGCCATCTAGCCGAGCACGTACGAACATAAAGTTTCATGAAAACAGTTCGCTCGTAAGTAAAATAAGCAGGGGCTGCAACCGAAAGACATATCGGTTCGGTCACGGCGTTCACAATGGTAAAAGCTTAAATTTCGGTTTTAGTTTTCGGTTTTGGGTTTTTCATTCGCCATTTTTCGATTACGGTTTTCAGGTGCGGTTTTCGAATTTAATAGACTTCGGTTTCGGTTTTCCATTGTAACAATTTCAGGTTTCCGTTACGGTTTCAGTTATAACGTTTATGACATTTCGGTTAATGGTTACGGTTTTGGTCCCTTATTTTTTCGGTTATTATCGATTATTCATTTCGGTTTCAGTTACGGTTACGATCCTTGAAAGTAAGTGTCAATTGCAATACGATGCTAATCGAAATTTGGGGAACATCTTATTCTCATGTTTCACAATGAATCGGTGCGAAAGTGTAAGTCATGAGAGAGGCTCAAATGATTTGACTTCCGCTGATTAAGTTGACATATAATTTCATGTCAAAATTTACCATATAATTCATTTTTCTATTAATTTCCAAAACTTAACGTAATCTTTATTATTCTTGAAAATTATGTGAACCACTTTCGCCAACTGTGATAAGATAAACGTCGGTGAGGATGGACTCAAATCTCTAACTTCTATCATCATTCTGCCACCCAGATCTAGTGGCATCCGCCCAAAAGTCTAAACTTGTAATTTCATCGACAGCAATTGAAGCAGTAGGTACAGTTGCGAGAATTAACCCGGTCACTCTGGGGTCCATCGGACCCCTCACATTCGTTTTTCCGTAAATCTTCTTACGCCTCAAAGTAAAATGAAATTGCATGGTAAATTTAGACTTGAGACCCTATTTATGGGATCGGGTTAAAGCGGTTTTCACCAATAAACAGCATGGGGTAAAGATGCCAACTTGTCAAGGAGTTGAATGGACCCCAATGTCCCATTTATGGAAGTCTTGCGATCGGTAAGTGATGTAAACAAAATTTATCTAGAAATAATTTTTAACCTGAAAGTATTCTTGTTTAACGAGATGACTTTGTTTTTGCAAGTTCAGATGCAGTTTTTTTTCACAGCAAATTGGTAGAAGGACGAAATTCGCTTGCACCTCGCATCACATCCGTATCTATCAAGAGGACCGCTCGATCAGAGAGGTGGCATTTCCGGCCTAAAATTAAATTAATGAATTCAAAAATGCAGCAACTAATTAGCGACTAAAGAGCAATAAAATATTCACGTCTTATTCTATCGTTTATCTATTTTTTTTTAATATGACTGTGGTAACTTAAACCGTACTGCGGCACAGGCACTACTTCCGGTTAAATGATTAAAGCAACAAATTTAGAAACAGAGCAGCTATATATCAATAAATTATTACGCTTGTTTTTATTAATTGCGCAAAAGTGGTTCTGTCAACTGCTCACACGTATTAAAGTCAATGAAATTTGAGAATGATCAAAGATCATGAATTATGGCGTCTAGAGTAAGCAGTGAAGTTGATTGAAGGATTTAGCAATATTTTTATTAATTCAGCTAATCTAAAAAGCCTAGATGCCAGATTAAAATCAGCAGTACATATGTAGCAGTTATGAAATGGGATGATGGGTAAGCATAGATATTGCTGATCATGAGTCAGAGCAAGGACTTTTTTGAATAAAATTAGGTGTCTTTTATTTAATTTAGTTCTCGTACAACTAGCTCCGTACTACACGTTTCTACGAATTGTTGGTCAGGTCAACTCTGCCCTTTTGGATTCCTTTGTAAAAACTCCCAGATTAGTTCGAGACCCTCCTCATCCGTTTGTTCGTCACTCTATGCATTTTTTCAACCACCCATATTCACGCTAATGTAAGTCACAATCTTAGTTCTAATGGTCACACTGGCAGCACGACTCGCATCCTATCTAGCCTTATTCTAAATATTAATGTAAATTAATTCTCCGTTAAAATTGCACGTTACTAGATATAGGTATATATATCGGCATATTAGTAAAATCAATAAATTACAGTGGAGATAATATAACGTCGAGTACTATTTTGAAAATATAATCAGATGATTACGTTTGACGTTGGGAAAGTATGAAAGTAAAAAAGTGACGCATCTGAAATTAAATTGTATTTGAAAATATGTAAATAATTGCAATTTCTGGTTGCGTTGGGTGATGATACTTTTTTTAATTCTTACTAGTAATATTCAAATAATTAAATAATTTATTTTCCCATTTTCGATATGCTATTTTCAACTTGTCGTCAATTGATTAGAACCCAGCAGTGAAAAGTTCTTGAATGACCACTTTACGTAACATTTGTACTATATAGCCCGTATGCAACTACTTGACTTGGTATCATCTGTTTAATTCGAACAGTCGACTGCCAAGCGTCACACTTGAAACATCTACATACCAAGCAAATACAAGTTGTAAAAACAGTCCGTTGGAAGACGAAAAAGTAAGATCGTCAGAAACGTATTTTATGGACTGTAAGGTGGATTTAGAAATACGTAATAAATCATTTTGTAAGTGATTACCATTGCCACTGTGAAAATATATAACATTACTTTAAACCGAATGCGATAAATTGATGAATGCAGGTGAAACGCTATCGAAAGAATTTCGCTATCGAACGTAGACATTTTTGCACAAGGATGACTGTGATTTTTGAGCAATGGGTGAATTACTGGACCATTGGACTTTTGACGGTGATTATTGTAATCGTATACGTTTACGTGAAACGACATCACAGTTACTTCCAAAAAATGGGAATTCCATATATTGAGTCACATATTCTCGTAGGAAATCGTGGACCCGTAGTTTTCAAACAGAGATCACTTTTCGATCATTCTCAGGTGCTCTACAATTCCATACCAGACGCAAAGTACGTTGGCATATATGATTTTGCTATACCAGCAATTCTGATACGGGACGTCGAACTCATTAAGGATATCGGTGTTAGACATTCTGAAAATTTTTTGAATCACAAAATCCTCTCCGATCCGCAACTGGATCCGCTGTTTGCAAACAATCTCTTCAATTTACAAAACGACAAATGGCGAAAAATGCGAGCTCTGCTGACTCCAGCTTTCACATCGAGCAAAATGAAGATGATGTTTGATATGATAACGAAGTGCGCTACAGATTTTGCGGATTTTATAGAAAAACAATCTCCCATTGTTGTGGACGTGAAGGATGGCTTTGCAAGATACACAAACGACGTGATCGCCGGTGCAGCTTTTGGAATTACCGTGAATTCTATGAAGGAGCGAAATAATGAATTCTACTTAATGGGCAAAGAGGCGACTACTAGTGGGTTTGTAGAATTAATGAAAATGATCCTCTATCAAGCTTCTCCGACATTAGCGAAAAAGTTGAAGGCTAACGTGGTCAGTCACCGGGCAGTCAATTACTTCTGTAACATTATCGAATCGACCATTGCAACGAGGAAAACTCAAGGGATTCAAAAATCTGACATGATTCAACTTCTAATGGAGGCGAAAGATTCTGGAGATAAGTTGGATTTGACTATCGAAGATATAACAGCGCAAGCATTCATATTTTTCTTCGCGGGTTTCGATACGTCATCCTCAACTATGAGCTTTGCTGCTTATTCGCTGGCTACTAATCCGGAAATTCAAAAAAAGGTTCAAGCGGAGGTCGATGATATTCTTAAGAAATGTAATGGCAAAGTGACGTACGAACATCTCAAAGAAATGAAATATCTCGAAGCAGTTGTCAGCGAAACTCTAAGACTGTACCCGGCAGCCGCCGAAATAGATCGAGTTTGCAGTAAAACATTCGAACTTCCTCCAGCTAGACCAGCTGCAAGATCCGTTACTGTGAAACCTGGCACCGTTATATTATTTCCCGTGTATGCAATTCATCGCGACCCTCAATATCATCCCAATCCCGACAAATTTGATCCTGACAGATTCTTGAATGAGAATGAGAAGTTCAACCCGTTAGCATATTTTCCTTTTGGCGTTGGACCGAGATCCTGTATTGGCACTAGATTTGCTCTAATGGAAGTTAAATTAGTTCTCTTTTATCTACTGATGCAGTGTAACTTTGAACCATGCGAAAAAACAACTATTCCTATGAAATTCAGTACTGCAAATTTCCTCCCAAGACCTTTAAATGGTCATTGGTTGAAAATTGTACCAAGAAAGGGAATAAAGCGTTTGTAAACCGTATAACTGATTATACACGTGCAAGTTTATACTATAGTCGGTCCACGAGTTCAATGTATTTTTTTCTTTGAAAATTCGCAAGCAATGCAATCCTTAGCAAATCGTACGTGATTTTCTATAAAATAACGTAAATATATGCTAAAATTGAAAAATAAAGTATATTTGGTGCAAAACCATGTACATGGATACTTTGTACAAATATGGAATAAACATGTGTACCTGAGTTTTCCATCTATAAAAAAATCATACCGAACTCGTGGACCGACTATAGCTTCCAATTTAGTTATACAGTCTTAGAATACAGTTTTCTGAAAAATTTTCCTAGTAACGCTTTCTATCATTTCAATAGTTATAGATATTTTTTTCATAAGTCAAAAATGAATTAAAGATTAAAAAATTCTCAAAAGATACATATATCCACGAGTTTTTCCTGATAAGATGCTGTCTTTTGTAATACGGTGGGATCAGTGTGTTAATCCAATGATATTGCCAATGATGATCGAAGTAACCACTTGTAGCAATACCTGATAATGAAATATGTATGAATACGAACGATAGTAACTATAAAACTTAATTTGTATAATAAAAAAATATTTTACAGATTGTGTACGTAGCTGGAAAACAATTGATAGTAATAATGCTCAAATTAGAGCAATAAGCAACAATACATCATAAGAGGATTTAGTATACCTTATGTTCCATCCGAAATAGGACACCTGAAGTTGCCGCGATCGAAAACGAGTAATAATAATCGCATCTGCCGAACGAATTACCCTTCTGTATGGTAAGAAGTTTTAACTCGTTTTCGATCGCGGCAACTTCAGGTGTCCTACTTGAGATAGGACACACGGTATATTACATGTATGTATATCTATATGCGGCTAACTGCTCTATCGTGTCCGTTGACAGCGTATTGCGATCCTGGCTGCACGTGAATTATAAGCGAATAAAATCGATTAAAAATTTGTATTCGAATACGTGAATTTATTATTAATTTCTTGTTCTTCATTTATAGCAACTCTATAAAAGTATAATAAGATCAAATAAACTCGACATAGTACGTTGTGAAGCACAGAGGAATAACGTACTTGTGAAATTTATTTCATTCAAATTTATATAGACAATTTTATACAAAGATGGTTGAAGTATTCTCGGATTGGCTGAATTTTTGGACCGTTCAAATTTTAATAGAATTCATTACCGTGTTGTATATCCACGTGAAACGGTATCATAATTACTTTGAAACAATGGGAATTCGTAATGTCGATTTACACTTTATAGTGGTTAATTTTGGGCCACTTGGGTACGGGTGCCGACTATAGTCGACGTCTATGCGACGACCTGTGACGACTCTTGTCACTAAGAATAATAATTTGACGTATATATCAAATATCATATATAGCATATATATGCTCTTAAAAAAGTGTATATACAAGAGAATCCCAAGCTGGCGTTGAAAGTCGTAAGTGCGAACACCGAAGTCTACCGACGTGCAATGTGCACAATTTGCGGCGCAGTGCCCCGTTCAGCGGCGTCACTCCAGCAAAGCGGATCGCCATAACGAAAGGGTTAAAAGCTGAAGTCATTAGCAGAATATATTCAGACCCTTTACGATTCCATACCAGACGCAAAATATTCTCGCATATGTATATATAATTTTTCTTTATTAGGTATTACAACACGCGATCTTGAACTTATTAGAGACATCAGTACTAAGGGTGGAACCGTAATAATTGGCGAACCTGTTGTTGACGATGCTGCCTTACGTTGTAGCAAATCGTGAAAATACACTGTAAGTCGTTGACAATTATTTGCACGCTAGTCCGTAAAATTATTGTTAAACCTTTCGCCTTAGTAGGGCTCAATGGCATGTTGTATTATATATTTCGATTATACTATTGGGCTTCTAGCCTGATCTGCACCAAAACCGGTAGAGTAATGATCCAAAAGCATGCAACTATTAAGTATAAACGTCCCCTAACTGAAGATGGATCGTGATGATTGAGCATCAGTGACCATAGTCTACAGTCAGAACTAGAGTAGAATTCTGATTAACCGGGCTTGGGTTATTCAGATAGCGGGTTAACCGTTCGGCCCCAGAGCGTCTCTGTGCCTCCCGTTCGTCGCTGAGCACGATCGACGCGAATTACATAATTACTAACGCTGTCTAGTAAATAAGCGTGTTTCACGAAAGATCGTAAAAATGAATTTTTTTTTTAGACGGGCAGAGAGGTACTTTTAGATTTATACGATTGATCTAACTGCTTATTATTTCATTTATCCGAAACCAACGACGGTTTCAAAAGTCAGATAGATTAGCGTGTCACTGTTCGCTTCGATTAAATTATTACTTTTTTTTATTATTTATTATTTATAAACAATTTCCGAACGATTTTCTCATGGCATTGTATACTTTTTGATTTAGAAATGTGTCATTCTGGCAAACATCAATATATCGAAAAAAATCCTACGTGCTTCTATAGCTATTCTCATAAATAATCGAAAAACCTTTGGGTTTTCATCGTAACTTAAAAAATGCAGGAGGTATTGGTTCGGCCGTAGAAATAAAGGCGTCATCGGAGAAATGCTATGTAGTCGCTATTTTGACATGTATCGCTTTGAAAAAATGATTAAAATTATTAAATTACTTTTTATAGTTTATTACTTGTATAATTAAGACTTTATTTTGTAATTTCGATTTATTTCATGATTCAGCTGAAAACAAAAATTCACAAAATTCACCTAATTTTTCCGCCTCTACAGTGGTCTAACCCCTTAATAACGGATTCTTTTTAAGTACTGCATGCTGTGCCTATATTCATTCTTGCTAATTTCAATGCAAAAGAAGTGACCACATATTGATATTCAGTTATGCCTCAAGGTAAACCTGTTTGTTCCAATATTTATTTTACTCGATTTGCATATGTAGTCTTATCTATCCTAATAAGTTGGCCAACGGTAGATAACGCGTGGGAGCAGGGGTACGAGAGATTCTGACAGTCGCAAGAATTTATAGTTTTTGATAAAATTAAAATATTTACGTATACTGCAAGTCAGATCTATTATCTGTGTGATAAAATGTATATAGTAAATTGTCGGGTAATACCAGTTTGTTTATAAATTGCTAACAATAGCGTTTCAAAATCATTTGAGTGTAAACTTCTTGGTCAAGAACCGTATGTATAAGAAAAGAATAACTCAATAAAACAAAAGTATATTAAATCTATAAAACTGAATTTATCAAAGATATTTGAAGTTTTTGCATTTAAAGATATACGAGTTTCATTTTGAATTTAGTCCAATTATTGGTATATGACAATACATATTACTATGTGCAACTATCTGTGATACGATGAAAAGTACTGAGGAAAAGAAAACGTACTTGAACAATTTTATTTGGTGAAATACACATAAACACATTCACGCAAGAATGTCTTCGATAATTTTGGAATTGATGAATTCGTGGGTTTTTATAATAGCGGCAATAGCCGCATTATATGTCTACATGAACAGGCAGGGCAATTATTTCAAAAAATTGGGAATTCCTTACTTGAAATCGTATATGTTAGTGGGAAATCGTGGACCAGTAATCTTTAGACAGAGATCGTCCATAGAACACGAACAGGCGCTTTACAATTCTATGCCAGACGCCAAATATTTTGGCATGTACGATTATTCTTCGCCGGCAATCATGGTTCGTGATATCGAGCTGATCAGAGAGATCGGCAGTAAGCACTTTGACAATTTTGTGGATCATAAAAGTATGTTCGATCCGGAGCTCGATTCTCTGTTATCAAACACTGTCTTTTTCTTACGGGAGGACAAATGGCGACGAATGCGATCTCTTCTAAGTCCGGCATTTACGTCAAGCAAAATAAAGACAATGTTTGGGTTGATATCGAATTGCGCAACAAATTTGGCAGATTTTGTGGTGAAACAACAAGAACCGATTATTTTGGACATGAAGGACCTTTTCTCAAGATGCACGAACGACGTGATCGCCAGCACCGCTTTTGGGATTAATTTGAATTCAATGGTGGATCGCCAAAATGAATTTTATAAAATGGGTAGAGAAGTGACGGATTTTGGATTTTTACGATCGTCAAAAATATTTTGTATGCAAATGTGGCCGAAATTGGCGAGGAAATTGAAGGCTAGTTTACTTACCGATCGAATGGTTGATTTTTTCCATCAAATTATTGCTACAACCGTTGCTACGAGAAGAGCACAAGGAATTCAAAGACCCGACTTGATTCATCTTCTTATGCAGGCCAGCGAATCTGAAACATCTTCAAAATTGACTGTTGATGACATGACTGCACAAGCATATATATTTTTCTTCGCCGGTTTTGATACGTCATCTACAACCATGTCTTTTGCTGCTTATTCGCTTGCTGCTAATCCTGACGTTCAAGAAAAACTTCAAACAGAAATTGACGAAGCTCTCGAAAAATGCAATGGCGAAGTTACGTATGACTATCTGAAAGAAATGAAATATCTTGATGCAGTTATCAGTGAAACCTTGAGGATGTATCCACCAGTGACAGAACTAGACCGATTGTGCACAAAACCATTTGAGCTTCCTCCAGCTAAAGAAGGTGGGAAACCCGTATTTGTGAAACGTGGTACCTGTTTCTTAATTCCAGTTAACGGAATTCATCGAGATCCCAAATTCTTTCCCAATCCAGATAAATTTGATCCTGAAAGATTTTTGAATGAAAAGGAAAAGATCAATTCTTCAGCATATATACCATTTGGAGTCGGACCAAGAACGTGTATTGGCGCTAGATTTGCCATGATAGAATTAAAATTGGTTCTTTTTCACCTATTAAAAATGTGTAATTTGAAGCCATGTGCAAAAACATGCATACCGATGAAATTCTGTACCAAAACCTTTATGCCAGCACCTGCAACTGGTCATTGGTTGCAAATCGAAAGAAGAAAATGAATAAAAAATTTTACTGGGCAGTTATACAGTATCAAAATGAAGAAAGGAACTTGATTGCAATGCATAAAAAATAAGAAACATTAAGATTCTTGTTCTTATCTATAGTGTTTGTCGAGAGCTATTGATATGTAATAACAGAGAACTTAAATTATTGATTATATCACAATGATACTTATAACACTATTTTCCAAATTTTGTTTGATTGTCATTTCTTACCAATTTAAAATTCATTGCTTAAGGCAATTCTACAATGCAATATAATAAGAAATAAGCAATAAGATTTTCATTTGATATTTACGTAATTCCATTGGATCCTCCAATCAAGGAGAAAATCGTTTTTAAAACCGAGCGTTTACTAAGTCTCTACGATTTTTATGACGTCCTGGACATAGCAACGATACGGAAGCGGTTGCTAGGGTCGCTAAGGATTTGACGGAGCACGAAACGTCATTGTCAAATGAGCCGTTCAGTGCACACATCGATTAACTCCATGAAACAAAAAGTTGAGAAATGCGATGAAGTAATATATATTGTAAATTACTTATTATTCAATGGCCAAAAAAATTGTGCCGTTTAATGGTGCTAATCTTTATTATTCAGGAAAGTTATTATAAATATAAAAAGTCATGACTATACCAAGTGCTTTGACACTTAAATTTAAGATTTTTCAAAAAGTGGAGTTAATCGATGTGTGCACTGAGCGGCTCAAATGTCATTACCTGTCACCTGTCATTACCAGCTATATAGACGAGGTCATTATCAATATCGTTAGAGAAATGAAATTTCTCTACGATAAAAGTCATTGTGACTTTAAAAATGAAGTAATGATTTACTTATCTGTATGAATAAACGCATACACATTTTTTTTTTATATTTATATATTGACAGATAATGACAGGTAAAAACGATTTTCTCCTTCTTGATTGGAGGATCCAATGGAATTACGTAAATATCAAATGAAGATCTTATTGCTTATTTCTTATTATATTGCATTGTAGAATGGCTTTTAATAACAATGTTTTCTAAATAACCGTAGTCGTATCAGCATTTAAATTGTAATATAGTACAGTTCTCTCTAATTTTTGTAAATACAAACTATTATGCAGAATAAGGTTTTTCGTATTTAGTATATCTAGTATTAACGATTTAATAAATACATTTTTTATTCATACAAAATTTTATAAAAACAGCTTCTTAAATACGTCTATAGTTATTGCTTTATTATTTATTTCTAAAAATGGAAAATTTTAATTAACCTTTACTCCTTACCGTCCACAAAAATCACATTGAGCCTACTACCGGTCTCTCAGACTGCTATTCGAACTCCACTCTTATTGCAATTGTGTAATCGCAAAGTATGTATTCATTATATAATTACACAATTATTTGGCATAAAAGAAAAGTTCATTCTACCGTTGTAACTTGGTGCAATTTGTTTATTTGACAGAATTCATGAACACTTTTGTTTGTCTTAACTATGGCTTTATAAAGTATCAAATACGTTACAATAGCGATTTTTCAGATCGGCAGTACGAAGTAAAGGTTAAAATTTGTTGATTTAAATATGCAATTTAAATATCCATAATGAGCATACCTTTTTATGAGTAACTTAGAGAATTAAATCAGGATGCAAAATATACGAACGGACACTTCTAATATATCGTACTTTTATTGCAATTAATTTTATTATAAATCTTGAATATCTTAAACTTTACGACTTTAAATATACAGTCTGAAAAAGATGACTCAATATTTATTACTAAGATAACAAATCCCAATCATGAAAGGGATAAATAAATGCACGTGATAATTGTACATTATTTTGCATTTGCTAACTAGTGATGTCAAATAATTGTAGAATAACCGCTATACAATACGGAAGGATTTACGTAACACTATACAATCTACTATTAAAACTTTATTTAATATAGATACACAATATAATTCATAACTGTGTTATATTTATAATATTTATTTACATGGTTGAATTTTTTGTATAATTGCATGAAAATAAAATTATTATAATAAACTATAAAACGAATCAAACAACAATTCATTTAGACGATCTGATTGGACATGATTTTTATAAACATTATTTGCCTGTGAGATTTTTTTCTCATAACGATACCTCGAGGAGCGAATGGCAAGAAGTTTTACATGTTATCTGAGCTGGCTTTCTCTAAGTTTCTTTCCCTTCAAACGCACGTCTTCTATCATTGGTAATTACAAATTATAATGGCACTTGACGCACTGACTTGTAGCTCACAATCGCGTCATTACGTATCATGTTTACAAAGACAGTTGTTCAACTCGATTTCTTAACTTTTTTAAAAGTTGCCGTGATTATCAAATCTTTGTCATTTCATGACGGCCAATTTGTAAAATACTTCAAATTCGGCAACTATTATGTATATAAATACTTTTTTTTACATGAAATTTGTAAGAGTTTTGTGATAGTTAAAGATAACAGGTTTTCTACATACAGATTACATCCAAATTATATCTAACCTTGCTAATAGTCGAACGATGCAAATTACAACAGTGGAACTTTGATACATAGAATTAAAAGCAACAGTAAGTTAACAGATAAATTAAAAACTGTGATTACTGACACAACAAGTTATACATATATAACGGACTTCCAAATGGATCGTTATAGATGTATAACAACACAAAAGTGTGCATAATCGACAATATAAACGTGAAAACTGTATGGGCATTTACAGACGAAGATAATTCAAAACTTTGTTTTGAATTATATTTATAACCGTATCAGAAATATGTTTTAAGAATTTTACTTTCTCTTAGACCTTATCCATTCTATTTTAAATGTATCTTTTATTAGACATGTTTAAAATCTATCTCAAGAATGGTTCTCATTTATCATCGTCCAAAACATCTTATGCAATGTAAATAAATGAGTAGTCTGGGTGGATAGAGTTGTCCTTTCAGTGCAAACATATAAGTAATGAAATCCCCCCCCCCTCTCGCGGCCAAAAAAACTTTTAATAACAGAGCACACCGTGAAATTGTGAGGACATATTGTACGCTGATGTTTTTCTATCTTATAAAAGACACTTGTTACACAGTAGATTCAACATCGTATTTTGATATAATGGTTCAAATAATGAATTTTGTTTTGGCATCTAAAGCGCACAAAATGAAAAAAAAAATAGAAAAAGATCAGCATCTCATGCAGCCCTCTTCATTATTATTTTCCACGCTCACATTCCACTTGCAATTTTTCTTAAGGAACAAATTTCTGGCGATCCGTTGTAAATATTTTCATAAGTCTACGACTTGAACTTGAAATGTATGTATTTATATAACCTTAAAATGACTGTTGCAGAAGCAAGTGATATTCACATGCAAAATTAATTTGTTCCAATCACATATTGGTAATTATTATATTGCATGCGTCCTTCGATCGTTATCATGAAAAGGTAACGTTCTAACAAGACACAAATCTGAGTCCATGTGACATATTTAGAACTATCCTCGAGACAATCGAGATAATTTCATGATTCGACCCGAAAACTGATTGGTAACCGTGACGAATCTCTCACATCAAGCTGAGATCCCGTAAGTCGCAAGAGTGTCGCGAATCAAGGGTCCAGTAACTGTAACCCTTGGAAACTTTTGATAGCAGGCTCAGTCAAAGAAAATTCTTTCGGTTTCCAAATCGTGCGCTCGTGTGGCCGAGTAGTCAACGATTAAGAATAATTATAAAAAAAATAGAACTCTGCCGCCACGTGGTTGGTGCTCATGATGATACAGGATGTGAAGAGCAGAGGGGCCCGTTTACTCCTCTGAAGTATTTAAAAATCATTATCCCAGCCAGAAATGTCGTCTGGAGGCGGTGGGTCAGAATCTGGTGGATACTCGTCAAAGTTGGTAGTGTCTATTGCATTTTGAACGCGAGGTTTTATAGGAGGTTCCAATGTTCGCAACCTCAAACCTTCCCAATTGAAACCATCAAACCATCTGAAATATACAAAGATATTTAACAATTGTTAAATAAAAATTTCATAAATTTATCTTAAAGCTTATCTTTTCTTCAGTTATGGCGTGTGCAGAAAATTAAATTAAATATTTAGTATATTTAATATTGTTTTTGTAGTGCGTAATTCAGAATATTAATGTGGCCACTTTTGTATTAGTATAATGTCGAATGATGTGATTTTTTAAATTAGTGTATATATACTCACTTGTGTTTTTGAATTTCGCTAATACCGCCTTTTTGGTAGCCTAGACGCTCTGCAGGGTTATCCCTGATAACAATTAATATGTCAAGTTGAAAATATAGCTTAAGTATGTTCCATATTCGTAATTTCATATATTTATACGCATATTGACGAATGCTCATAAATAACACACATATATAGTCGGTCCATGAGGTTCAGTTGAGGCCAATGTATGTTTCTGACAGATCGGAAACAATGAAATCTCTAGTGGTTCTGTAAGGTGGATGGCCCAGTCATCGGCCATGTACATACATACATACCAGTAATCATCAGTTGTGTTATAAATTATAATACTGTAGATTTTGCTCTAATCAAAGCACACACTGACGATTACGGGTATATGGACGATAATTGGGCCATACACCCTATACATTTTTTTTACAAAATATACAAATGCATAGTTTTACACTAAAATATATTTAATTTTTCTAATTTAGCATGTATATCCATGATTTTATGAAATGCCATGTATGATTTGCTGAAGATTGCATTATTGTGAACCGTCAAAGAAAGAAATTGAACTTATGGACCGACTATAGTATTTATCGCGTTGAAACTCACTGAGTACTAATTGTTTAATTTACTCTGTATTATGACTTATTGCAAGTGCTGAAATATGGTACTGATTGTCAATAATTAAATGGCAAATTACTGCAGTCTAGTAAAATCAGACAAAAGCAATATGGGACTATAATTGAACATGAGCATGTATACAAATGTCGCCAAAGACAAATTTTAACAAAATGCTAATAGATTCATCACGCTAAATTTTTAATGTGAATCTGTAACCACATTATTCAGTTATAACATGCAAACCGTGAAGTATTCAAGATGCGAAGAACTAGAGGGATTCAAAACACGTTTTTGGTCATTAATAAACATCATGTAGTTTACTATTAATATTTGAAGCTATCCTAAATAATGGTCGTCCTTGAGTTATTGAAGTCCCTGCCTATTGAATGTCATTCGTTGACCAAAAGCGTATTATTAATTAAGGTAATTATGACCTGTACCTGCATAGTTTTTTAATTAGTGCCGTTGCGTTACGCGTAATCGATCTAGGAAATTCGATAGCGTCAATTCCTTTCAAAATAATATTGTATGTCTTCATGGGATCAGCTCCCGTGAACGGAGGTGTACCAGTAAGCAGTTCAAACATCAATACACCTAGAGACCAGTAATCAGCACTAATATCGTGTCCTCTGTTCAATATCACTTCGGGTGCCACATATTCCGGTGTTCCACAGAACGTCCACGTTTTCCTTCCGTGATCTAGTCGTTTCGCAAAACCAAAGTCCACCAGTTTGACGTATCTGAGGAATGATAAAGCCATAATTATATTTACTTACTGACAGATTGCATACAGAGTCGTGAAGCTAAATAGAAAGTTATAAGCAGTGAAAAAGAAATAGGAATCTTCCCAAGAATGTAGAAGAGATGAGAAAGGTACGATATCTCAATGAGGTGAAAGTTACAATGAGGGTCCAGGAGTCTGTGATCAATTATCCAGAATGACTGAATAGACTTATACACAGCGGAACAACGTTATTGTGAAAGCTCTTGTGTAACCCACAAACTGTAATAAAAAATATTTACAGCCGAGGATAACAATATTCGTACAATAAGAAAGCCAAAGTAAAATTAACAATACATGTCTAGTTTCATTTTTTTTAAATCCAAACACGATAATTAATATTTATTCATATTAGAGTTTGAGTGTAATATAACACCAGACATGTTTAGATAATAATAATTAACAAATAACTTTACAGTTCATTTTACTTCGACCTTCTTATTAAACAAATAGGTACTTTTGCTCCTTATTATATTATCTGGATTGAATTGAAGAAAAATGATCAATCACTTTCCTAATCTAAGTGAAAGATTGACATACGTACAACAGTGAATACTCATTTTTTAAAGATGATTTTCGAAATATGAAAAGATAAACAGATGGATCTGTGTACATAAAAATATAATGTGTCGTTTTTCGGTTACATTAAATAAATTGAATATTTTGTATTTTAATTCTATCGGCTTCACGTTGAGAAATTTATGATGAATACGCGTCTTCGCGTAACCAACATATTATGTATTTTGCATATGATAGAGATCAATAAGCTTTAATGGACAATGGGCACTCACGCCGAAAGTCAGTTCGATCGGGCCCATTACCAGATTGAATTTTGACAATTGTTCTGAGTGATAGGATTTGTTATATGTATATATGATTAATACATTTGCTGCATGTAAAATGTTGCTCGTGTAGATTCCTGTGTGTCACGGGGTCATATATGCGTGATCTAATCTGGCTCTCTGTACCTTGCGAACCAACAATAGGTCTGTTCCATTGTGTATCTTGAAGACCTTTGGATCACTTTGCTACGTTTTCACATGTACCGTTTAAACAGAATTAATCAATGACATTAATCTATTTCTATTAAACCATACACGATACTAGTTAACTGAGTTTAAATCCATAATGGTAGAAATTTAGCGTAATATTCTAGAGAACTCGTAAGCTATTAACCCAGGCAACATTCTCTCATGCAATACGACTCAACCTATAGAATGACGCAACAGTGAAATTGAGAAACTGAGATGCGGGTTGATTCAAATGCTCGTAGAGCTTCAGCTGAACTCAAATTAGGAGTGAAATCAGATCATATTAGTACATATATTCGTTAACGTTTCCATATCTTAAATTTAAATTATAATATGAATCACCAATTTAATGGCATATGACAAAACCAAAGACTCTAATAAAGGAAATTCTCATCAAATGGAATATTCCACAATTTGAAAATAATCTTAATAGTATTACTTGACTTTAAACATAAAACACCTTGATAAACGATTCAAACAATGCAAAATATATCTGTCAGTAGAAGATGACAACGATGATTCTTCATTGCTTTCTCATTTTAATACAACGGTCACTTGCTGCGTATTATTGAGACTACTCGTAAAGATATTAGGAACGTACTCAGAGCTATTTGTTTTTTCCTCGCAGTAATAATTTAAACTATTATAGTTATCTCTTTTTTAAGAGGTCAAAATGCGTTCAGATCAAGTTTACGAACAACCCTATTGGCAAAGGAAATTACTATAAAGTCTATTACTAGCACTCAAAAGTGGATTAGATGCCATAGGCTTCGAAAACATATATTAGGCTTTCGACATGAGTTCCAGTTTGTGGGCACATCTTTATATAGTCTATAATATAAAGGAGCGTCGTACTTGAAACTGATGCCGACTGATGGCTATGTACATTATCATTTATTATTACTATGATAAAAAAAATAGATATATAATAAAACATTATGGAATACAAACCCTTGACTGTCTAATAAAAGATTTTCTGGTTTGAGATCCCTATATATAATGTTTCTTGAGTGAAGATAGTCGAAAGCTTCCACAACACAGGCCGTATAGAATCTGGTAGTGCTGTCATCAAAGTGACCCTTGTCCCTAAGGACCGTCCACAATTCTCCACCAAGACACGCTTCCATGAGCATATATAAATATTTCCGGTCCTTGAAGGTCTTGAAGAGTTTCACGACAAAGTCACAGTCGGCCTCGCCCATTATTCTCTTCTCGGACATAATGTGCTGTTGTTGTCTGGTTTCCACAATCTGGGACTTTTTCATTTGTTTCAGTGCAAATGATCTGCTGTTATCACCAGCTATTTGAACGAGCTCAACTCGACCAAATCCACCCACGCCGAGAGTTGCCAAAGGACGAAGATCCTGAAGTCTAAGATCCCTGAATTCCTCGTTGAGCCTGATAAAAAATATTTAATGATAAGTACTTCAAACGATCCTCCCGAAAAAGATTTATAATCTAAACAGCACTATACATAGACCAAAAAGTATTCAAAGCTATAACGGTTCTAGGAGGAAGAAGATCGTGGGAAGGCTCTTCATATTAGACGGCGAATTCTATACAATCTATACGGGAAAGGAGAAAGTGCAAGTGCTGCTATTTATAAGTCTGGTACCATCGTACACAAGGCTGAATATCAATGTTATCTTATTAGACAGATTTACGGGAATGTCTTGCATGAAAGAGAAATTGTACAAGTTGGTAATCTTTTTAAACGCTTCTTGCACGGTGTAATGAAAGAAAGTTAATTCGATTTTATTTTTTCTTCAAGACACATCTAGTTTAATAGAAACGTAGAACCATGCAGTTGTTTAGTCATGCCGCTACCTTCAACTTACTGTTAGTTGAGCAAACTCCAATCCTTGAGTAAGGCGTGAAACAATTTAATTATTGATTTAACGATGACTGCAGTTTCACGTTGATGAGATCATATATTAATAGTTAGGTTAGTATGACTAATTTTTCAAACAACGGTTAACGATCTTCCTGCACCATAGCACCAAGGAAATACTAATAAAGAGGGTTAGCCATGTTGGACCTTGTGTCTGATTGCTACTGGACACAGTTGGCACAAAAAACATGTATACTGGAGCCAGTAAAGAATTTCTGGAGGTACTCGCAATGCCATGCATTTCGTTTGAAACATGATATACACAAGAGCTGGTTCCTCTTTGTTAATATTTCCTCAGTGACTACAGTAATTCATTTTTCATCTGAAATGTTTGAATAATAAATATATGGATAAAGCACCTTCTGCGCTCTACAAGTTCATCCTTGTATCGCGTTCGAATCTCGTCGAGGGATGAAATCAATTGGTTGAATGTTTCTCGATCAATTACAAGACAGCTTACACCATCAGGATCATCCGCGACAATATTGGCTGTTCTTAGATCATCCCTGAAAATCAACCAGTCTGTTAATATTTATTGCAACTGTAAAACAATTTTTAAGTCTTGTACGGAACTCCACTCATTGCTGTTCTCGAGTGAAAATAATTCTTAAGTTTGTACTATTTCAAACAGTGAATTTTGAAAATGGATATATTTTTAATAATCTCAATCTTTAACAATATGAACATATACCTAAAGTATATGAATATCCAATAGTTCCAGTTGTATCCTGTATACGTGAACTCGTTGAAGGAACAATTTTTTAAACACGCGCACGCGGAGTTCAAAAATCCATGAACACGCTCTTTACAGTATATCGCGCGTCACATAAATAATTTAACACCATCGTTGGATAAATTATTACTCAAGAAATTTTAAGGTCGATTCGAAATAAATAATTTGAACGATCCTTCATATAAATCGGCTTTAAAAGTGAAAATTCTCAAGTTGTACGAATTTTAGTATTATAATATTAAGGGATAAAATGTATGACTTATAGCATTTGTAATATGAAAATTTAAAAAATATTTTTGAAATACTTACCCTTGCAACGCTTTTTCACCAAAGAAGTCGCCTTTGCTCAATGTTCTAATGTACTTTTCTTCAGTTGTGTCAGGCTGCTTAATGGTCACACGTACTTGGCCTCGACTAATGATGAAGAAGGTATCGCCCCGTGCGCCTTGTCTAATTATATAGTCACCATTGTTGTAGAATGTCTAAGAAAGTAAATACAAAAAAAATACATAATAATGCTAAACATTGGTGAAAAATACATATATCGAAGCGTGAGATTAATGCGAAATAACTGAAAGTATTATAATTTATGATCATGAAATTTTTAACACGCGCTTCGATGGAAATATGAATTTCCCAAGAAATTTAAAACTTATATACGATATCTATAAGTTCTGGCAGACATTAATAATCTATAAGCGGAAAATAAAAGGAAACTTTAATTCCATAATATGTGCACGTGCTGGCAGATAACCGGCAAAGTATCTCGATCGTTTTCTTAATGAATTTTGCTTAATAAATATTTGTCACTTGCATACTTATTTATTGAATAATAATTTAGCACGCTTATAACTATAATAATGGTAATTATGAAAATTTCGTACCTCTTCCAAAACGTCAGATATTTTGATAAGCGTTTCCTCTGGTAAATTCTTGAAAATAGGAACACTGTAACAAAGATAAATGACAATTTATCATATTGTTATTATAAAAATGACCGGTAATAATGATCTTATTATATATTCTTATACACTTTTTACCGAGCTATACGAATCGTTACGTCAGTTTTGGAAAAGTTCCTTTACCTCTATTTTTGACTGGTTATACATCATCACTTTGCGTTGTCATTCAGTCTGCTAATGACTATCTAATTATGGACGACCAAACTATGTATCTTTACTGACCGATTTTTTCTCTATCTTTGAAATATTGAATTGCTACTGAGAAATGTCATTTACAGTCTACAAATTACACCGAATTTAACAATTTGCCGAAAAAAAAAAAAAAAAATGAACCATTTTTTTCGCACAATTTTTCAATACCTTATATATAATTATACCGCAGAAATACGTAAGATTTTAACATGACAAACTGATACTGATGCTATTTCCATGTGCGGATAATTCAAGTTCAGGCGCAAGATTCTCAAGACGCAAAATGAAGGAATACTGAGAAAATAGAAAAATGAGTAAACGTCAAGGCGACGATGCCGTTGATCATCCCGTCTATTTATACAGCTGGCTCAACCCCGTTGAAAGAAAGTGGAGCGTCCTCGATTTATTATTTCTGGCTTGTCAATTTACCGTGCCAGACCTTGTGGCACCGTCGTTTCCCAAATAATGGAGTCTATAACTCTCCATACTATTTCAGTACCAACTCTTTTTAATGGCTTTTTAAGAGGTAAGCTCCAACGAACTTTTTCTTTCAGTTTTTCCTCCACCACAGGACATAACACGGATCACAGCAAATTTCTCATTAATTGACACGTGATACCTATACTTACACAATTTAATTATTTACTCTGTTCTAATAACATTACCTATATAAATGAGTATCGAATCATGAATAATTCATTGCATGGAACTAAATTCATCCAAAATCACTTGGCGGCCCAAGTCTATCTAACTGTCCGTAGAGGCTTAATATTTTTCGTGTCAATGAAACAGCGAGTCACATATGATTGAATTCTGTTAAAAACGAAGTAAACGATTTTTTTTTAAATAAAAATATGAGTACGTTAAAGATGCCGTACTTGGATTACAAGCTCAGACGAATATCATACCTTTTTAAGAAGTCGGTGTATTCCGCCTGTCTAGAGAGGCCAGTTCTCATCATAATCGTTTGGAAACATTGTCTATCTATTGCCCATAATTGGCAATCCGTCGCTGCCGTTATGGTTGCTGTTCTCTTGCAGTTATAGAGGATGGCCAATTCACCAAGTACTTTTCCAGGTGCTAGGGTACTCAGGTATTTTCCATCTCTCGAAACTTCCACCTTGCCCTCTGTTTCAAAATAAGGAGAAAAATGTTACGAAAAGTGTAAATAATACATTTGTTAATTACAACTGATTATACATAACATTTATAACATCATCGTGAGAAATCTCTTTTGAATCGTCCGAAAGTTAGCATTACTACTGATATGTAATTTACCGATATGAGAGATTTTAGCCGAACAGCTAAGATAAAGAAAAAATAAAATTGACATAAGAGACAGCCAGAAAAATGCCATGAGTAAGGTATTTTTTGTTCGTAAGAATATATTATATTGAATAAAATATTTTTACGAAATTTCAAAGTAGCTACGTTCAAGGTCGAAGCAGTTCGTCTAATCTTAACCAGCATGAAAGGTTTTATATAAGAATAATTGAACTCAATATTCTGCACTGAGCTTTCAACTGACTTTTAAATAGATTTCAATGACGCGCGCGATAATTTGAATTTACATTTTTGGTTACGATTACTTCCACTTCATTAATGTTAATTTAGTTTGCTGATGCACATTTGAAAAATTCATTCCAATATACTATTAATAGATGAATCGAGAACTCGTATAAGCATTAATAAACTATTACGAAGTAACAGTAAATTATCAAGATATACCAGTTCAACCTTCGCCACTTGACATTTCAGATTCTTCATTCGACAAACTGCGAATAGTGAATGTCATTTGAGTTGCATGATATTCATAAAGACCGTTTCTGAAAGGACAACGCGTAGCGGAAAGTTCATGATGATCATGTTTTATCTGATTTTAACCATTCATTCCATACGTTACATGATATCATTGACAATGCAAATCAAATCATTACTTTTTGGAATTATTAGAAAAAGCCATACAATACCACAATATACATAGAAAATATCTAAGTGATAAGTTGATACATTCTATAAATGATATTCGCATAGTAGTACATACTGGAAAAAGAAAAGCAAAATATTTGTTTGGGCTATGATTTTCGTCCTATTTTCTATTATTTATCCTGAATTATATAATTTGCATAATATGGCTTAGCCATCTGCACGTGGTGCATAGAATAAAACTGTTTTTCGAATATGGAATCGACATAGCATATCTTTCATAAAGTAAGACAAAACTATTAGTATCAGTATATAAATTGTATAATAAAAGAAGTTCGTTGACTTAAAATAAATTTAAGTAAAGGTATTTTTAAGGCTGCAGCTAGATAATTTCACGTGTGTATTCACGCAGGCGTATAGAATAAGGACATTAGAAGCATAAGAGCTTTCCAACTATTATACACCTTTATGCTATAATTAATTATTGAAATTCGAATTCACTCCAAACATAGCGCGATTGTATCGCAGAATACAAAGCAGAGTTATTATAAGACACCTAACGTAACCACCGAAGGGTAAAACCAAAAAATCCAAATTAATAAATTTGACAACAAAACTGTCTATAATAACCTTGATTTGCACACCGTGGTAAAATCGAGACATACTCAATGTATTTTTACAATGTAAAATTGTATGGCCATATGCATCGAAATATTATAGAATATCAGGGAGGTTCATGCTATAAATAAAATAGACAAAATTTCCTAAGAAGCGAACGTTCAAATTAGCCACCTAGTTGCAAACAGACTTTGTCCCTCCCAGCCAAAGAAAATAAATGGAAGATCTTTCAGTTTCCGGAGACAACCATCAGCTGACGCCTGGACAGTAGCTACTTTGACTATTAATCGATGAAACAAACATCCAGCAATATCGTAATCTCAATTATTTGCATTAACAAAAAATATACTGAAATAAATATCTATCTTAAGAAACTACAGAGATGATAACATACGACTGTTTATCGTATAAGGTAGAGCGATGTGATAAAGTGTATTCTCCTAGATCTATATGTAGTGTATAACGCGTTTTTTTTATTTTGCATTAATATTCGATAAATGAAAAAATAATTAAACGCAACAAAAAGTTTTCTTAAGAAAAAATAAGAACTGAAGATCAATACTGAAGATGGTGTACACGTAATACTGAACTGTTATTAATTTCTGACTAAATGCAATCATAAGAATTGATATAAGACCACTTTGTCTGTTACTAACCGATATGCCAGTATTTTCTATCTAATGGTGTTGTCAGTTGAAAAATAATTTGTAAAATGTTCCCCGAGGTTAAATTCGATTTCATTCGAAGATGCATAATGATAAATCATGTATCATTATATAATTCATCTATCTACTTTAATTATATCTATATTGAATTATAATATATCATTATTAATTCATACTCATAAATCGTCTATTTCTGAAATGTCAGGGTCGAAGACGTTCATTTATACTTTCAGGTAAAGTGCCTATCAAGTAAGATCTATGAAATCTTCGTGAAATTGGCAATTATTTTTATTAAAATAATATTGTTAACGATTAAGATAAATTTTTAATAAATTTCAATCGCGAATTCGATATTATAAGAATTAATGAAACGCGACTGTGTAAATCATGTCTGAGTATATCTTATGTAATATCCGAGACCGTGTAAGAACATGGATCTTTATGCACACTCGAACGTATCAAAAATTGTATACGATTCGCTTAAGGTTGACGATCGAGTTGTGGGGATAAAGATAAGAGGGGTGGCTCATATGGTTTTCCATTGTATGACGTCATCGCTACCAACGTACTATTACAATAATTACGATTATCTAAAATTTAATTGCAACGAATAAATAATATATATTATATACTTTTGAAGATTATATATAAAAGAACGAAATCTGGCTACGTCGTGTCGAAGCTTCGAATATTTGTGTCTCGAAATTGGAACCACGTGATACCTGTAGATCGCCGTGAAGTCTCGTGGTATCTCGCAGCCATGCCGATTCATCTTTTTCTTTGAGGTTAGGATGGAAATTATATAAAATATGTGATAAATTGTATATTCCACGTGAATAAAAAGAATACGCATGCCCTACGCGTGCTCGTCGAATCAGATTCTTTTGCATTCGATTTTTCCACGTTTCGTCTTTGTTGCTCGCAGCTGATTTTCTTTACGATTTCCCTAATATTTTTCGTGACTTTTCATCAATTTGTCACCCTGGAATATGATTGCATAATCTAATCCTTGGGGTAACAAAAAATTTGACATTTTTACTTATCCTGTCAACAACCTTAACACAGTTATATAGAAAATAAAAGAACTAATATACATTTTGAAGTGCTTCCAATGATAATTCTAAGACCCAGTTATGTATTGCGATACGTAATTACGGATATATTGTTTCCAATGACGCTGCTGACATTTTTAGGTCATTTGTAATTCACAGGTTCAACCTGATTGCCTCCAGTAGCTGTTTCAAAGTCTATTTCACGGAGAAAAGCGTAATACCGTATAACCGTATGTACTGTAAGGTTGTGATTAGCTGAGCGTGACTCCAATAATTCCGTTTAGTTCCTTGCGTCAATGTGGGTTGCGTTCTTCTTGGTGGAGTAGCCATTACAAAAATGAAGTACGCGTTTATACATAAGTAAAGGGGAAATCGTGATTGATCTATGTACGTGGACAGGCAACGTTCGAAACGAGAAAATCTCCTTACTACGTTATGAATGCGTGAAAACTACTATTAATAAACTTGCATGTCCGGATTAAAGTATTTTATTAAGATCTCGGTGGATTTGAATGGAACTTAATTTGACAACTAATCCTTGAAAAAAAAAAAATACAAAACGAAATACAGTGATTTAACAGACAACCGAAATTAACATAGCTGTCATCGCGACAGTCGACAAGCATTTTCTTAAACTGTGTAGACTCAAAATTGTTGATAACTATTCAAAGAGCACCTCAAAAAGTGCATTTTTTTCGAAGACTTTAAGTTTGACGAATACGGTAATTGAGATATTCAGTCATGGAAATTTTACTTTCCATAGATTTTGCTTTTGGAGAATCATCTGAATGTACACAAACTTCAACTACAGCTCTACCTCGATCAATAGACGTAACGAGTTATTATAACGCACATTAGTTTTTTTAAATTCTTCAAAACCCAGACATTAAATAATATCTGGTAGACTGCCAAAAAATAAAAATTAAAAAGTTTACATACACTCACATATAAAAGTCTTTGCCCAAAGGCCATACAATGTATAATTGAATTTTGCTAAATACTTTTGCACGTTACTGTATGTGCGTTGAGTAAGTTATTAGTGAGCGTTGCAAATTCTGATAGAGATTGTAACATTTAAATATCAGTAGAATTTTAAAAATATATTTAAAAAAAGATAACGCGATAAGTCGGCCTATATTATTTAACAAAACAAAATGTGAGACAAAAAGTGTAAAACAAAATACGATTTAATTAAAAAATCAGGTCATCAATCTATTTGCACCCGTAGGGTGGGTTATTTTCAAGGGATGAACCAGGAGAAATGCGGGGCGTCCAAGCCGGGATTCGAGCCCAGAACCCTACTAACAAAAATTCATTTTCGTTACAGCACATATAACAAAGATACGAAGAAATCTTTGAATGAGAGAATTGTCAAAATAATTTTCAATGTTTATCTCATAGCTGGCTTGAATTTTTCCAAGATTAGGTAAGACAGTTGGGCAAGAATGTGTAACGTTTTCTTCATGCACGGGTTACTTAATCTACGTGTTACGGATGACTAAGCAAACTTGAGTCCAAAAAAGTGAAGAAAGGCAAGAGTTGCAATCATTCTCAGGTACCAAAAATTTATCAGGATAGAAAAATCATGTAATTCTTTGCAATCTTACATGTGTTTTTGGATTTCGACAATTATAAATAATTGAACTTTGAAAATACGCAATCCTTGTAAGCACTATAAGTGCTAAAATTCAAAATACAAATGATTATTGTGCGGCAACAGAATTTTTAAACGTCATACAAACTAATAAGTAGGTACAAAAGAAATAGCAAAAGTGGAAAAAAATAAAAAGGAAAAATTTAATTAATTTTTATTTCAGGCTTTTTCGTATTTAGGTGCCCCAACGTCATTTGTCACTTTTTACGAGAA